GCTCTGTTTCCTTTCTCCTATCATGTTATGCTCCTCTCCTTCTCTTGGTCTGTCTCTGCATCTCTCTCTCTACTCTTTCACCCTCTCCATCTCTCTCTCTCTCTCTTGCCTTGCCTCCCTCTTATTCTCTTGCTCTGTCTCCTTCTGCTCTACACAGTTGAAATTTGACTCATGGATAAACCATAATGGGAGTAGTATTTTATAACATAAGATGAAATCGTGAAAATGCGTTCTTCATTATGTTACACATGAGCATACGTATCACCTAATTTGAATTTTTTTGAATATGAAGGAAGTCCCTTCGTTTATTGACCATTTAAAACAACAAAATATACAAAACAACAATACAATAGAGGATTGATATCAGATAACAACAACAAACAAAAGTAATAATGGTCAGGGTCCCTGAGAAGCAAGACTGCTTGTAGTCGGGACCCTATATACAAGTACATTATAACATTAATATAAATTTAAATGCACACGCACGCATAACAAGCAAGCACACACACACACACACACACACACAAACAAACACACGACAGAATGGAGCAAAGATATAAGAGGAAGGAAAAATACAAGATAAAGAGCTACGAAGAGAGATCGAGATTATTTAAAGAACTGAATAAACGTAACTTACACAATACTTTAAATCTGGATAGTGTTGTGCTATTTGTAATGTTACTACTTAACAAATTCCATTCATACACCCCTGTGAATCTAATTGAATTGCGAACATAATTGAATCTAGAGAAGGGTTTATGTAAATCTTGATGTTGTCTAGTTAAATGAGTGTGGAATTTTGAGTTTGTTTGAAACATGTTAGAAAAAACTTCTGGAAGGGCGCCTTTATTATATTTATACATAAAAATCCAGGTATTAAATCTTATCAGTTCGAAAAGAGGCATAATTTTATATTTAACAAAAAGTGGCGCGCTTGGAGTCATATAATGAGAGTTGGTCAACAGACGAACTGCTTTCTTTTGTAAAATAAACAATTTTGATAAGTTTGATTTGAAAGTATTGCCCCAAATTATAGTACAATAGTTCAGATGAGGAAGTAATATAGCATAATAAATATTAAATAATATTCTGAGGGGTAAAAAATCCTTAAGTCTATAAAATACACCAATACATTTGAGCAATTTATTACAGACACGATCAATATGTTTTTTCCAATTTAAATTTTCTTGGATGGTTACTCCTAAGAAGTCAATGCAATATTTTCTTTCAATAGCAATATCATCAATTTTTACAACTTCAATGTCACTTAATACTTTCCTCTTCCTAGGATGGAAAATTACATATTTAGTTTTTTCAAAATTAAGTTGCAATTTATTACATTTGAACCAATTATTTAAAATACACAATTCTGAATTCACAGTGAAAATCAATTGAGATATATTAGCATGGGGGAACACAACAGCAGTGTCATCCGCAAAGAGAGAAAACTTCAATAATTTTGATGAATTAACAATGTCATTTACATATAAAATAAACAAAAGTGGCCCCAAAACTGAACCCTGAGGGACACCGATATCAATATTCATGAGATTGGATTCGACACCATCGACCACCACATACTGTTTACGACTTAATAAATAACTTTGAAACCATTGAAGCGGTATACCACGAATACCATAGTAATTCCATTTTTTCAAGAGAATGTGGTGATCGATGGTATCAAAAGCCTTGGATAAATCCATAAATACACCACAACAAAAATTACCACTGTTTAATTCTTGTAAAATGTAATCAGTAAGATTCAATATACTAAGTGAAGTACTGAAATCTTTACGAAAACCAAATTGGTCATTAATAAGGATTTTGGATTTATTTAAAAAATCATACAGTCTTCTGTGCATTATTTTTTCTAAAATTTTACAAAATATGGATAACAAAGCTACTGGTCTATAATTTTCAATGTTATTTATGTCATTCTTTTTATATATTGGTATTATCTTTGCAATTTTTAAACTATCTGGCATAATACCACTCATAAAAGATTTATTAAATACATCGCACAATGGCTGTACAAAATAATAGATACACTGTTTAACAACTTTTGGCGAAATACCATCTGGTCCACAGGCTTTATTACTTTTTAAAGTTGATGCTATTTCTATAATTTCATTGACACAAGTTGGTTTAATATAAAATGAGTTGAACGATTTGTCTGGTAAAAATTCCTGAAATGAGTGGGATGAAGAAATTGAACTCGAAAGTTTTTTACCTATATTGACAAAAAATGAATTAAAATATTGAGCAACATCTATCCTCGAACTTATTTTTATATTTTCATGATACATTGTTTTGGGAAATGCATTTTCTTTTTTGTTGCCCAAAATCAAATTTATTTGTCTCCAAGTTTTCTTAAGATCCCCTTTGACATTATCAAATAAATTCTTGTAATAATTTCTTTTTGAAGATCTACTAATGTTTGTTAATTTATTTTTATACAACAAATATTTCCTCTTATGCTGGTCACTTGGTTTTTTTTTAAATGTTTCATATAATCTATGTTTTCGTTTGACTGATTTCAAGATTCCCTTTGTAATCCAGGGCTTTATAGAATTATGTTGATTACTTACACAGTTCAATTGTAAAGGAGAGCAATTATCATAAACTTTGTAAAATTTTCCAAAAAATATATTATAACTGTCATTAACATTGTCACATTTGACTCCATCTGACCAATTAACAGATACCAACTTTTCTTTAAACATATTCATATGTGAATCGTTTATCAACCGACTCTTTTTACGGTTATTAACAACATGACGATTACAAGAAGATTAAAGGGAAGAGATGCAAAAAATGGGAAAATGATCAGAGAAGTCACTATATAAAATACCAACATTTCTTTCACCATGCACTGTATTAGTAAAGATGTTATCTATCAAAGAAACTGAGCTATGAGTGACCCTTGTGGGTTTAGTAATTAACGGGTACATATTATATGAAAACATAGTGTCCAAAAAATCGTTTGTTGTGTTATGAACATCATAATTAATCAGGTTTATATTATAATCACCCATTACATATATGTCCTTCTTGTCACATTCTAAAATATCAAAAATTGCTTTTATCTTCTCACTAAAGGGTGTAATATTGGTGTCAGGAGGACGATAAATGCATCCTATTACAACAGATTTATTATTTTGAATAGTTTCAATGAACAAAGTGTCATAGTTTGCAGTGGATGAAGATAGGTCTGCAAGAACTGTATATTCTATATTACATTTTACATATAATGCTACACCTCCACCTTTTTGTGATGGTCTACACACTTAAACTAATTTGTAACCATTTATATTGAACATACCAAAATGAGTAGAAGGCTTAAACCATGTTTCTGAGATTGCAATAAAACTGAAGTCATAGTCAATAGATGACAGGAGAACTTGAAATTCATTAAAATTCCTTGGTAGGCTTCTTGCATTTAAATGCAACATGGAAATATTTGATTTCTTATCTTTATATTGTGTATTAAAATTGTCACAAAAAGTATATTTACAGTTATTTACATACAATGTGTTACAATCGTCATCAGATAAGATATTCTCAACATTGAAGTTCTGATTTGGCGAGTTCATGTTAAATGGATTAACTTTTAATTTTAACAGTTTATCTACATTAATATCTTTATCCAAATGAAAGAATGTATACATAGACCAGAGGAATTCACAGTCATGTTCATAATAATTGAATGGAAAAATCTCGGATAAACATTGAATACATAGAGAGGAAGATGAAGCACAAGAACAGTACACACTCACACCCATTCACAACACTCACTCACTTAGCAATAAATTTAAAAGTAAACAGTAAACAAAAGACTAAACAAAAAAGAACAAATAAAAATGTATTTAAAATCGTACATAAAAATGGACATAAAAATGGAATATGTAAAATTAAATGAAATGCCTATATAGGTATGGGAGGAAATGGATTGGTATATTTTAGTAGTCTGCTTTATAAAAAAAGCTGCATAAGTTGTAGGAGTGAGACATTCCAACAAGGTGTTAAACAGTATATCATGAATGTGTTTTAATGTTTTTCAGATCTCCTTCACTTGCAATAAGTTTGGTGATGCTCTTACCTCCGGTTGCGTTGATAAGAGCAATGATTCGACCGTCGGAAGACCATGCAGCTGTGACACCTGACGTCTTACGTGTTACAGACAGAAGTTTCTGATTCTCAACTGTCAAGTCTTCAACAATTACTATCCCTGTTCCTTTCAATTTCTTTCTATTGTAGATGACCTCTCTCCTCTTCCTGTAGGTTGTCAACTTGACAATTATGGGACGTGATCGGGCCTTCCTAGCTGATGAAGCATCAGTCGACGATGTACCTGGTGCTGATGGCTCACTGTTATCATGCAGCCTTCCTGTACGGTGAGTGCGATCTAGGTCTCTCACTGGATCCAAGGTTACACCAAGCTTGCGAGTGATGACGTCAGCTACAAGGGCATCTGTGTTTTCCCCTTTCTTTTCTTGCAGACCAAATATCCGGATATTTGATCGTCTAGAGTACTGTTCCATTGAGTTGATGGCAGATTCCATTCGGTTGATATCATGCTGTTGATGAACAATTGTTTCTTTCAGGTGTTTAACTTCATTCTCTTTCTCCTCAAGGTTCTTCAGGACATCAAACATATCTCCCTGGATTTTCTCAATTGAAGTAAGAAATTCACCCATTTTCTTATCAATAGCTTTACTAACAATGGCATCCAGGAGGTTAGTGAATTCATCATTCTTGACTAAGTCTCTTATTACCTGACTAGTTATAGCAGCTTGTTGTCTTGTATTAAGTGATGCAGCCATTGTGATGATAACGAAGTCCAATGTGCATTCAACTGATACAGGTGTGTAGAATGAAAAGAATTCACCTATTCCTTTGAATAGACCATCGGAATTTCAGTGTACATGTTTCAGTGTAGCTCTAATTCCAATGAGAACTGCACTCTCAGTTAAAAAAAACAACCCTATAAAAACCAGCACATGGGACCAGAAGATAAAAAGGAAGATCAGTTTGAAGATGTCTCACTTTTCAATCCAATATTCTCCAAGCTCAATCAAAGTTCTATACATCCTACATTCCAGCAGATATCTTCTATAAGAAGTTGTAGACAAAGATATGATAAAGAGCAGGATGACAGTCCAACATTTAGCTCTATATTTAGCAATTTTTCACTCCTATTTTCACTCCTAGATTTCCGAGCAGTATACCTCTTCCTTTTGTGAATGAAGTGACGAATTAAAGTCTAGTATTATTATTATCATTATTTTATCAGGCCTCCATCTCACTTCGCATACATAACTCGATTCACCAGTCCTTCTCGGGACTTCTCTCACGAAAGAAGAACTCTCTCATACATTTATCTACCTCTATCCGTACAATACCAATAATTCTCCACATGACAAAACAAAAATAATAACTCACTCTCACTCTCTTTCTTGTCTATCCCTTTTCAAACCCAAACAGTTCTATCAGGACTATCCGTATTGATGATAAATAATTATTCTAACAATACCGGTAAGTTACGAAGCAAAATGGTCGTTTCGTATAACCCTTGACTCTTGGCTGTAATTTATATCTTATGCAACATAATTAATTTCTTCACAGATCTGCTTGATACCAGTATCTGCGGGACACGCCCTGCCTATGCACCCGACCAATCCAGGATTGTTGGTGGTATCAATGCACTCCCAGGGGAATTCCCTTGGATTGGATCTTTGAGGGTCGATGATGGCTCCGATAGGGGTAGATTCTTCTGCGGCACTACTTTGATTACCTCACAATGGGTGCTCACGGCAGCCCATTGCGCGTAAGTATTACACAAGAATGTCCCTCTGTTCTAACACCCATATTTTTCAACATCCCTATATCCTATACCCCTTTAACCTAAAATCCATAAACATTAATACTTCATGAAAGTTCACCTTTATTGGTGATCAGGGGTGGCCGAGCGACTTCCAAAGTGGGGGGGCACCTAGAAAAAAGGGCACTTTCTGGAAAAAAGGGCACCTACAAAGGGAAATCTCAAAGCGAAAATATACAATTTGTTAGACATTGGTAAAAACCCCTACATTGTGATTACAATTATCAGGGATGATTTCAATATTTGTTCACTTTGTACACCAAAAAAGATACGGCTTATGCATCATGTTTTGCAGTTGGGTTTGATTGTCTAAAAATTTGCGAGCGAGGACAAATTTAAAGATGTGTGCTGTCGTAGTGCGAACAATGACACCTTATCAAGAGGAAAAACCCAATCCTATAGGGGTTAAAAGCACATTCTAATAACGGAAGACTGAAAAGACCTTTGATAAGTAACGCAAGTATATCATCTATACAGGCGTGTACGCAGGGGGGGGGTTGGGGTTAACCCCCCCCCCCCTTTTGATTTTTTTTTTGTTGTGTTGGTTATATTTAAACAATTTAAAAAAATGACTTTAAAAAAGATGACCTCTCCACCCCCCCCCCCCCTCCCCCCTCCCCAACGGAACAGAATGTCGATCCGTCAAATTTTTGGGGCCGAAAAGAATAACATTATTTACATAATAAATTACCGTCCGTGTCTTGGAAATACACCTGTATCTTTTTTTTTAATTAACCGTGTCTTAAATACCAGATTGGGTTAAAGTTGAATTTACACGGTAAATCATGAAATTAGAATTAGTACATCAGTAATTTCCTGAATTCACAAATAAATTGAGAAATCGTCACTACAGACTCACCAATCGGAAACTACAACCAAACTAGCCTATGTCCGAATTTCTGTTTGGACTCGGAGGAAACTTTGTCTGTCATCTTTAGTTATAAAAAACGAATTTGTTACTATCATTTGTGACAAGTTTACAAGCAAAAATCGGTGCCTTCAATTTCGCCTCGCCTCGTAGCGAAATAAAAGTTTTCTAACGTACTACCGTGTCTGCTAAAAAGCAAACAAAAGCAAAGCGGAGATTTACGGTATGTCATGTAAATATGTTTGAGTTGTTGCTTTCGTGTTTGATTGAATAAAATAAGTTTGTCATTGAAAGAAAGAAAAAAAATCATTTTAGTAATTGGCGTATGGGCTAAGTGCCTTCACACGTTCAATTACCGCAGGAATGACGCTGTCGAAGTGACGCATCGTGTGCATCGGTTATACCGTTAAAAATTGCTTTTTTATTAGGTTTGATTATAATATAACAACGAGGTGACAATGGCGCCTCGCGTGCAACGCGCATTATGGTTTAATCGCAATTATGCCACATTTTTTATATTTTCCTCCCAGAGGATCCTACATTGATCGGGTGATCTTCGGAGGCCTTCGGCTGTCAAATGAGTCCGAGTACGAAGTGAATGCCGAAGTGGCCGATATCATCATCCATCCCGACTACGACGCCGAGTCCAACGATAAGGACATCGCTCTACTGCGCCTGACTGAACCGGTGTCTTTCAGTGATTACGTCAGGCCAGCAATGTTAGCCTCATCGTCAAATGAATCGAGTGATTATCGTCGATGCCTCGTCGCTGGTTGGGGGGATACCTCTGAAGGGGGAGGTACGGCATTTTAATATTTGATTTTTTTTAACGTTGATGAGCCTATGTTCTAAAAAAGCCTACGTTCCAGCAATATGTATGTGACTGCATGCATTGATAAGTTTTGCGTAGACTGACCCATAGAGGAATTGGTTAATTTAGCAAGTGCTTGCGCGGCCTGTGTTGTACGCAGGGCGACACATGGGGTCGTCGGAACAGATGGATGTCGTGTGCCATATGTAATAGGAGCGCGGTCGGCAGGCGCGGATCCAGGGGGGCCGAGCGGGCCTCGCCCCCCTCCCTCCCCCCCCCCCCCCCCGCACAAAAAAGGAGAGAGAGAAGGAAAAGGAGGGAAAGGGAAAACAAAAGAAGAGGAAGAAGAAAAGAAAAGAGGGAAGAAGGAGATCGGGGGGCAAAAGGACTTGCCTTCCAGGCTCTGCCCCCTGGACCCCAGGCCAAATAGTGTCCTGCCAGTGTTACAAATAATAAGGTATCAAAAATGCTCATCTGACCGTAATTAAACGCCTAAAAGCCCTGAGCTTCCGGGGGCTCTGCCCCCTGGACCCAACCAAGAGCCCTTAGGCGGGCCCCTTGATACTCATCTGACCGTAATTGAGTGCCTAAATCCCTTGAGATTCCGGGGCTCCGCCCCCTGAACCCCAAGCCAATTAGTGACCTGCCACCGTAACAATTAGGTATCAAAATAATGCTCATCTGACCGTAATTAAATGCCTAAAACTCCTGAACTTCCGGGGCTCTGCCCACCTGGACACCGCCTAGGGCCCTAAGGCGGACCCCTGAATGCTAATCTGACCGTAAATTAAAACCTTAAACCCCTGAGCTTCCGGGGCGGACAAGGTATCAACATATGTTCATCTGACCGCAGGCGCGTAGCCAGGGGGGCGGTGGGGTGGTCCCCCCATAAACGCCGGCCCAAAATAGAGAGGAGTGAAAAGGAAGAGAAAATAGGAAGAAAAGGGAATAGACAAAGAACATTTTTGAAATTCAGACAAGGATTAATTTTCGCGAACGGTACAACGAATCGTCTTCTTTCTATAATAATTTAATGAAACGTTGAAGCTTCCGCGCTTCGCGCGGAAGGGGGGTGGGAATTAATTTAGACAAGGATTAAGAGTCGAGAACTGTACAACGAATCGTCTTCTTTCTCTAATGATTTAATGAAAAGTAAAAGCTTCCGCGCTTCGCGCGGTGAGGGGGGGGGGAACTGAATTTAGACGAGGATTAAAAGTCATAACGGTACAACGAATCGTCTTCTTTCTCTAATATTTTAATGAAACGTCGAAGCTTTCGCGTTTCGCGCGGGAGTCGGGGGGAACTGAATTTAGACAAGGATTAAGAGTCGAGAACGGTACAACGAATCGTCTTCTTTCTCTAATGATTAAATGAAACGTAAAAGCCTGGGGAAACTGAATTTAGACAATGATTAAGAGTCGATAACGACACAACGAATCGTCTTCTTTCTCTAATAATTTAATGAAACGTCGAAGCTTCCGCGCGGTAAGGGGGGGGGGGTGGGGAGGGGGAAACTGAATTTAGACAAGGATTAAGAGTCGAGAACGGTACACCGAATCGTCTTTTTTCTCTAATGATTTAATGAAACGTAAAAGCTCTCGCGCTTCTCGCGGGATGGGGGAAACATCATTCAGACGAGGATTATTTTTGGGAATGGTACAACGAATCGTCTTCTTTCTCTAATAATTTATTTAAATGTCAAAGCTTCCGCGCTTCGCGGAGGAGGGAGGGGGAAAACTCGCCCCTCCCTGCACCCACCCACCCCTAATTACGTCACTGCTGGTCACCATTACGTACCAATATTTGGCTCGCATAATTTCAAATTTGGGCCTCCCCCCCCCCCCCCCCTAAGAAATCCTGGATCCGCGCCTGGCGGTCGGAACGTATGGGGTAAAAGAGGACCGCATGGGTAAACCCATACCAGAGGAAGGGGAAGGGGAGTAAACTGAAACATAGGGATGGAAAAACATAGGGATGACGAAGAATAGGGGTATCAAAACGGGGGTTACGTAACTTAGGAATTTCAAACATAGGGTTGTCGAAACGTAGGGATGTCGAAATATAGGGTTGTCGAAACATACACTATGAACATGACTGACAAAGAAGGCGGACAAAATATACAGTTCCTCAGGTAGACAAAGGATCATCCCTTCACTGCTATTATGTACAAATATGTAAAACAGGTGTCACATGCATATTCACCTTTTTACATAATAGCAGTGAAGGGATGTTCCTTTGTCTACCTGAGGAACTGTATATTTTGTCCGCTTTCTTTGTCGTCATGTTCATAGTGATAGGGATGTTGAAACTTAATGTTGTCGAAACATAGCGGTTACGAAACATAGGAATGTCTGAACGTCGGGATTGCGAAAGATAGGGTTGTCGAAAAGTAAGGATGTCGAAACATAGGGATGATGAAACTTGAGGTGTCGAAACATAATGGTGACGAAACTTAGACATGTCGAAACATAGGGGCGTAGAATCATAGTTGTTATTGTAACCGACCTTTTTTTGAGTGGTAATGCAACATAAATACAAACAGTATCGTAATATGGAAACATGGATCATTTTATTTACTCATCAGAATGATCAAGAAGGCTAAGTTTATGAATTTTGTATACAGATATTTCGGAGACTTTACAAAAAGCGGTGGTAAACCTTCTGGACCAAGAATGGTGCAATTCCAACGTTTCTTACAACGGTACACTGACGGATAACATGATATGTGCTGGGTACGAACGAGGAATAATTGATACCTGTCAGGTAAAATAAATCGCAAATTACTATAATTCGTAAAAAAAAAGAGGGATAATTTTTCGCAGTCTCCTATGATATACATGAATAGCCGAGATCTAAGAACGAGGAGGTGACGGGAGATGTTGAAGAATGAAGAGTACGATGAGGAGGGAGTGGAGAGGAGGATAACAGTCAGCAACAACTTACATACACTCCAATTCAGTGAGAGACGAATGCACACATGACAAATTTCTATGTATGTTCAAAGTGACAAGGCGGAAGGAAGAGGATTGGGGAAAGTGAGGGGTAGAGGAGGGAAAGTGAGGGGTAGAGGAGGAAGAGAACGAGGAAGAAGTGGGTGGCAAAGAGAATAAATGTGACGAGGAAGAAGTGGATGAGGAGGGGACGAGGAGGAATGGGAGGAGAAGGAGTAGAGTAGAAAGAGGGGAGGAGGAAAACATTCTTTAATTCCAATAACATTGTTTACCATATGTCGCCAGGGCGACAGCGGTGGACCTTTGACCTGTGAAGGTGATGATGGTCGATGGCATCTGGTCGGAGCAACAAGCTTTGGAGTTGGATGTGCAAGACCACTCTTCCCGGGTGTCTATACCCGAATCTCACAGTTCCAAGATTTTATTACAGCTGTGGTTTTGGATGGTAAGTATATAGTCGGGGCTGTTAAAGGTATTACAAAGTTTTGGGAAATTTTGAAAAATGGGTGAATAGTGATTCTTTACAATTTTGATATATTTGGATGCCCCTGTAGATGTATTAAAATCACCAGAAATTTTAGCCCCTAAAACACTTCTGCTTTCGAGAAAAAATGAATATAAAGATTTACCGGTGCTCCCGGTAAATTTTGATAAATTTCAAATAGCTCCTACGGCCGTACAATAGTAGCTGCGACCATGAAAATCTCAGAGTATGTAGTTGTGGTATAAAATTTCCGAACGAGAATAGCTAATCGGTCGGTTTTAGTCAATAAACATTGTTTTATAGCTTAATTAATATCTTGACCTTGAGAGGGAGCTATTCAACATAAAGTGTTTATTATTTACAATTGCATAACTTTAGAGTCGATTTCGACCGCGAAAACGATCACTGCATATTGTAGGATCGTATTTGCTTCCAATATGTTCGTTTGTACCAAATTCATGACCCAATACCAAAACTTTGTATTACCTTTAAGGTTATATAGGGGATGTTTGGTGCAGATTCTTCTAAAAGCACCAAATTTGGCACAGAGGTAGCTTATCCCATACTATTATGATTTCTGCGGGCGCCAAAAAAGGCGTCCTCTGGGGCCGCCATATTGTGCAAATCCAAAATGGCCGCCATCTGAGTTACAGGTCAAGCGTAGTTCCAAAAGGAAAAAGGCTTGTATGATAATAGTTTATATATTTATGTAGTTTTCGGGGTCAGAGAAACTGATTATGATGTTCTTTTATCGATATGAGGTCTCCTTGGGGCTGCCATACTGGCCATACTGGTCAAATCCAAAATAGCCGCCATCATTATACAGGTCAAGTGTAGTTCCAAAAGGAAAAGAGCTAGAATGATAACAGTTTATATATTTATGGGGTTTTCGAGGTCAGAGAATCTGATTATGATGTGCTTCTATCAATTACAGGTCTCCTTGGGGCTGTCATGCTGATCAATTTGGTCAAATCCAAACTGGCCGCCACCTCTGAGTAAAAGGTCAAGTGTAGTTCCAAAAGGAAAAGGGCTAGTATTATAAAAGTATATATATATTAAGGGGGTTTTCGGGGTCAGAGAATCTGATTATGATGTGCTTCTATCAATTACAGGTCTCCTTGGGGCTGTCATGCTGATCAAATTGGTCAAATCCAAACTGGCCGCCATCCGGGATAAAGGTCAAGCGTAGTTCCAAAAGGAAAAGGGCTAGTATTATAAAAGTTGATAAATTCATGGGGTTTCCGGGGTCGGATAATCTGATTATCATGTTCTTTATCGATTTTATCCCACCAATCCTGCTCTATATAAGGCTACAATGAAGTCCATTTCCTGATTGAAGAAGATGAGGGAAGATGCGCCAAATTCTCACTTGAGTGGGTAAATTGAGCAACATCAGTCATAAATGAGGAAATGACAATGATTTGATCCTAAATTTATTCTTCCATCAGCATACTCACCGGGGATCTACGAAGTCGACCTTGACAACGGCGTTCCCACATCCATCGCGTCGCCGAACTACCCGATGAACTACGACACCAATGACGTCATCGTCTGGAAGATATCGGCCCCGGTCGGCCGCAGCGTAAGACTGGACGTCGTTGAACTTCTCCTAGAGACCAACTACGATTATCTGTACGTGGGCGATGGACTGTTTCCACAAAGTTCTACCGAGTTGGTGAGAATGACGAGTTATGTCGTCAGCAGGTCTGTGACTTCACATGGACGTCACATGTGGATGAGGTTTGTCAGTGATAAAACAATTACTTACGCTGGGTTTGAGGCTCAAGTGAACTCCGTGGATCCAAGAGGTAATTCTGTTACCCCCTGCAGAATATTTTTTTTCTTTACTCTCAAAGCTTGTCGGGAGATTTCATCATCTAACTTTGTATGGTTTTCTTCTAAATCGTAGGTAAAAAGGATGTATACTCATGATGATTTAAAAAGAAATATAACCTCGGTAGTCATAAAAGATATACCATCATAATATTTTTAATCGAAAATGTAAGGCATCATTTGCGTCTGGCTGACAGCTTATTAGGTGATACGTACGAAGTCTACGTATCACCTATTGATTTCGTCAAGATTTGTATTATTAGGTGATACGTACGAAGTATACGTATCACCTATTGATTTCGTCAAGAGTTTTTTATTTTTATTTCGTGATACCTACGAAGTCTACGTATCACGTATTGATTTCGTAAAGATTTTTATTTATTAGGTGATACGTAAGTAGACGTATCATCTTTTGATTTCGTCAAGATTTGTCTTATTATTATTCCTCGAATTTGTTCGCAAGATATCTCAAGACTGAATAGAGCCATTATCATGAAACTTGCCTTGATGATAGATCTTAGTCAAACTCGGCCGTCAGAGTGTAAAACGGTCTAACTCGAAAATTTGACTTTTTGAGGTAAATTCACTCTCCGGGTAATGTGAGGGTGCTCTTTCCAATGGTGCTATCGATAAAATCCAATCATGTCTTCTTTTAGAGATAATTTCAGCTATCTTGGTACTTTTTTTGTATTTTTCCTTAAGATTTGATGATAAAACGGTCTATCTTTGAGTTAGCCCATCGTCGGTAATATCGTTTGGAGGTAAAACGAGATATCTTTTACATAAACCTTTTAACCTTATTAACTGAGATTTTTTAATCATCGCTGTCAGATGGTTAAATGGTCTATCTTCGAGTTAGACCAGTTTACCTAAGTTAGCTCATTGTCGGTAATATCTTTTGGAGGTAAAACTAGCTATCTCTTACCATAGTATGGCAATAGTGTTTATGGATATACCATTTTACCATTTTATGATGTGTAGTGGGAGTGTATTCATGTGCTGTGGTTAAACGGTCTATCTGCACAAAATTCTCATCTATTTTATAATTAAAACCCCAAATAAGCACAAAATTCTTCAGTTATCAGTGTTTAATATGCTTCTTCTTGTCCCATTGCTAAAAATGGATTATACCCATCTCCTAAAAAAGCTCAAACCTCTAAACTTCAAAGTCATTTTTCTCAGAACAGCGATTTTCGAGATAGACCATTTTACCATCTGACGGCCGAACTTAGAACTACGTGACTTTTCATTTAGGCGCCATTTTGTGAAAATCAACTCATGATCATATCTTCATAACGGAAAGGAATTTCTCATTCATAATTAAAATGATTAAGGTCAATATCCGTCCAATCAATTTCAGGTCAATAAATGCGCGCAAACATGCGCGTACGCGTTTTTCCGCGCGTCAATGTGCGCGCAAAATGTTAAATTGCTCCAAATCATCTCAAATTAATTTTGTATACGTTTCATGCCATTATAAGCATTCTATAAAAAATCGCGCAAACGCGCATTTTCTTACCCTTCAATTTTTTAAAAAGGATATTCCTCATATTTTTTCGAACAATTTGATACCATGTTTATCTCTTTATTACTATTAATAACGGAATGAGCGTCTGTTCAATATAACTGTCCGTATGCGCGAGTTTTGTAATACATAGCATATACTCGCAAAAAATGCCTATAAAAAGTCCATTATAGCTCTTTTGGTGGAAAGGAACCCTAATTTTGTTTTCTTCATATTTAGATAGAGTATAAGTCGGAAATATGATTTCATGTCTCATTTCGCCATTAAGTATATTTCGACATTATCATATTGACCTTGGAACTCAAAATACGAATTTGCATATTATGACGTCAGCCTATTTACGGGAAATGATTGTATCTTTGCAAATATTGATAAATTTTCTTCTAAATGTTGATATGTTGTAGCCAAGAAAATTATCTACAAGATCAACGTACATTATTTATCATTTTAATGACATCATCATAGCAAAAATTTAAATTAAAGGCGACATGTCAGAATTTTCTTAGTTTGCGTGTTAGGCGTATTGGGGTGACTTTTTCTGATATCGTAATTTTACAATTCTCTATCGAATACTTGAAGGGGGCGTTATACCACTTTTAATCATGGTCATCGTCATTTAAAACCAAAAAAATCATCATCAATATCTTCATTATCGGCACACTTTCATGATACAAAAATAGCATACGTATCACCTAATTCGTCAAAGTGACGAATTAAAGTCTAGTTCTCCTTAGAACTATAAGCTCAATAAATATTAGCAACAGTCTTTTTCAAGACTACCAACAGTCCTTTTCAGGACTACACGCACACTCAAGAAAGAAGGATTACCGACAGTCCTTTTCAGGACTCCCCAACCCCCCCCCCCCCTCTCCCTCTCTCTTCTACTTGTGTGGATAGGGAATTCATTCTAAGACTGGTTTCTTTACAATATCGAAGTTGTTGACTTCGTGCCACCTCTCCCTCGCTCACCCTTAAACTTGAACGTAATAAATTAATTAATCGATTGATTGATTGGTCCGATCGGTTGGATGGTCGGTAGATTGATTGATTGATTATTTAGTTGATCGGTTCATTAATTGATTGATTGGTTGATTGATTGGGTGATTGATTGATTAAGTGTATGATTGATTGATCGATTGGTTGATTGAGGTTATTTTTTAAAGATACACTGTCGCTCATATAGTTGGATTTTTTTTTTTACCCCAATTTATGGAATTATTTTGACAATGATTTATTCCTAACAGATCTAATAATAGTATACATTCTCAGATTGTATTGAATAATAATTTGCCAGTGTTTATTTTGCGTGACTGCCAAAGGATGTGTATGATACTATGCTTATCAACTAAGGGACCTACGCTCCTAAGCCATAAATGACAGTAATGAGGATTAATGCCCCACAAAAGGGCACTAATATGGCACATCGACATGGTTTTTATCCTAGGGCCTCATAGTTACGAGGCCATTGCTTTGCCACTGAATCATGACTGTAAGCAACGGGGGCTAGGGTAGGGGACAGTTCACACAAACAAAAAATAAAAAATAAAATGCAATAAGTTATCAATAATTCATTGCATTTTACCCCGGTCCCCGACATAAAAAATCCTCTGTAAGTCCATGCATTGTGGCTCAAGGCATGGGCATATTATTTTGTTCTTATATGTGATTATGCACTTACAGTACCAGTGATGCTCTCGAGAAGCTGAAGCGCCTGAAAGGAGATGAAATCATTTACAAACTCCACACACTCTTACAGGAGCTAAAGACTTTTTAAAATGTACAGGCGAGGAGGCAAGCAGATCGGCTATTAAAGTAAATGTGCAAGGGAGCACACACACACACGCATGCACACGCACACACACACACACAAATATTTGGGTATTAAATCTTACTCAAATAGGGAAATAAACTTTGACACGAATGCATTAACTCATTTAATTGAGATTGATAACGCACAGTAATGAGTTTTGTTAATTTGACATTATAGTGACATGAGTATTTTAAATATCGTTTGTAAATATCTTAATTTGTCATTAATTTCTTTTGTAACACAGCATTTGTATTTTGGGGGAAAGTTTGTACATGTTATGATTTGTTTTCTTAATAAACACATAAATAAAAAAAATTAAAAAAATAAAAAAATTAGTATTTTGAAATAGTGAGTCTAATGTTGTGAGTAAATCGCTCCAACTCAACTAGTGTCTAATGCTTCAATTGCTCGGTCAGTCAGGTTATTATGCTCATCACATGTGATTAAATGGCAAATGAGTAATCTAAATTAGTGAGATATTTAACCAAATGTTGTGAGTGAATTGCGATTTGAAATACAAATAAATATAGCCTTGCTTATGGGCCTCGCGATTGCAGGACTTCGCTCGCGCGCTGCCTCGCCATGCACTCCATACACTTCGGTCGTGAACAAGAAGAGCTTCAAAATTTCAGCACTAGATCTAGATTCTTTATCTAATCAGTAGCCTTAACTTGTTTCAGAAAAAGTCTGAATAAAATTTAAGGGATCCACTTCAGTAATATTACTACTAACTGATTCAAAATTTAAAAAAATCAAATATACTTACACTTATTCTGTGGCTCGTCGGCCGCTAAAAGTGTGACGATCGGGTACCTACGTGTGAAAATTGAGTGTATATTCAACAATAATGTGTACTCGTCCATGATCTAACATCGTTTATCCATTAATGAATGAACCTGCATTCAATCAGCAGATGTATGAGATTTATTGTATTATAACCAAAGCTCCTTCTCTCCTCTTTCCTTTTTTTATCTGCAAGTCACTCTTTTTTTCTTTTTCTTTTTATTGTTGTATCTAAGTTGAGGGCTGCGGGCACGTCAGGTTATTTTGCTTATTTCTGTAGCCCTCCTGCATCTAATGTATGTTAATTATGCATTCAATATATTTGTTTTTTTTTCGTTTATTATCTGAATAAAATCATATACACTTCAAATATTGTATCAAACCATATATTATGTTCATGAAAATGTATAATGAAAAAAAGAAAAAAGATGTAGAAACCAATAAATCAAATCAAATCGAATAAAATCACGAACGCGTACGAATATTCATCAGCGAAATATTTAAGCGCATGATACACAAAGAGTAAGATAGCTCCTATGACGAGTACAGCTTCGAAGAGACTTAGGTTGTTGTTGTTGTTTTTTTACTCATCCAACGAAGAACGAGTCTGTGACATATTAGGGAGCAAAAAGCCAATCTACACAATTGTGAATATTTTTACTCATTCGGTCACTAAAGTTGGAGAATACTCATCCAATATTAACTTACATGTACTTTAATGAGTAAAAATACTCATCGAGAAGATAATCGGGTCACATAGTCGTTTTAAATATCATGTGTGTAAAATTTCACTAAGAGAAAAGTGGTGTATTCACCAAATGTGTAAAATAATGCATTTATTAGATATATTCTCTCGACTGAATGAGTGGGCTACGATTTTTACTCACCATACTTAGTTCCGTTTTTGTGTGTGCAGCAATGGAGCGGTAGACCCATGTAGAGTTTCGCATTTTGAAAATTGATAAATGGTTTGATATTAATTTCTTCTTTATGTAATGAAAACAATTAACGAAAACTTGGGAGAAATATGGTAGAGGAATTAAGCGAGGGAACCCAAATATTATATTTCTTTTCCAAAAATCGAAGTATTTTAAATAAGTATGCCCTGATTGGAGAACTTTAGATCAATCATACAAACACTGCCCTCAGCTCATGATACTGTATGTTTACTATGATATAAATTATTATTGTTATTATTATTATTATTATTATTATTATACCTATTATTACTATATACTTCCCCAGATTGTTCAGGTCTGTTTTTTCCGTTTGGATTAAATGAAGGGGACGAATTCCTACCAGCCAACGATGATGGTTCAACAAACGAGCTACCGATTTCCGTCGCCTTCCCGTTCTTCGATCACGACCATACTAGTCTTTTTGTAAGTCCCTCGTTGCTTGAACCAAAATATTTTGTTTAAAAGAAATCTGTCGAACCCGTTACTTGATATCACATTTAGGAACACATATCATAGATAAGATTTACGTCACATTTTGGTACATAATCATCTGGACACAATCGATGTCCCATAAACATGATAAAGATATCGAAGGCTAACAATTCTTAAACTTATTTTAAATTTTAAAAGGAAATACAAGTTTTAAATAATCCCAGCGTATTTTACATCCGGGACTTGCTGCGATTGCTACCGCCTAGTGCAGTCAAAGGACTAAGGCATCGTCAACAACTCCTACGTTCGCCCCCCCCCCTCTCTCTCTCTCTCTCTCTATGTGTGTGTCTGCGTGCGAGTGCGTGTGTGTATATCAGTATGACCGGATTAATCTGTTTTCTTTTTAATTATTATATCACCGTTCGTCTTTTTCAACTTTCCAGATGAATTGGCCAGATTTATACTTACTACCGCCTTCACTATCTGTCTCCCCATTTCTTTGTTTTCGTTTATTTGCTTTCCTTCTCATTCTCTCTATGATATCCCATCGTTGTCACTAAAATTTACTACTAATCACTTTCATATACATGTTGATGCAGGTCAACAATAACGGTGTAATCTCGTTCTTGGAAAGAGTTCCTCAATATACCCCCGATCCGTTTCCACTCGCTGATGGCCGACGGCTTTTGACTCCATTCTGGGCTGATGTCGACACGACTAATGGTGGGACTCTATCCTATCGACAAGTCTTACGATTCGCCCAAAACGACGCCACATTCCTCGAAGCTGATGGAGTGATAAGAGCACAATTTGTTGACATGAGAGATTTTGTGTCGTCATGGATGTACATCGCGACCTGGGACAGAGTAGCTTTCTTCCTTGCTTCTGATACCTCTATCGTAAGTAATAATCTATTGATCGCCGCTGACCCTATTCATATTGATCATCTGTCGCCACTGCATTATAGATTTCTGGTACTGTGTCATGTTATGGCAATGTAATTAAAAAAAATACCCCGACGAATTTCCACGAGAATAAAACAAAATCGGTTTTTTCATGTCACATCTTGCATCAACTAGACGACATTCGCCTTTCGGAAGTCATGTCGGCCAATTTGCAAACACGATAAAAGGATTACAGCAGATATTAGACCCAAGTGCAAACCTCCTGGAAATCAAGCTGATCAAAAATGTGACAATGTGTAAAACACGTCTTTATCTTTCACTAAAATTAATAACAATTGATAGTCATTTTATTCACCATCCTATCGTGCTATCCGTTTTGGTTTAATGAAATATCATTTAATATTCATATCAAGATAATTTTGATATTTAACTTCAGAGGAATTCTTTTCAAGCTGTGATGGTGACAGATGGCCGATATTCCTTCGCCATCTTTAATTACGGTGATATCAACTGGACAACAGGAGCTGCCAGTGGTGGTGATAGTGATACTGGTCTTGGTGGTACCCCGGCTCAGGTAAATCATTAAATCGTTTGGTTTGTAGCTCCCTCTTTTTATAAAATGGATACACGCTTATAAATACGAGCTCATGTATTACAGTTGCCCCTCCCAATTCTATAAAATAACACATCAGTCAAACCGCCAAACCGACTCCAAGTCGAGTCCAGACCGAGTACTCCTCCAACATTTGGTGTAATGTCATTTTTTGGTCAGTTTGATGTTGGTCACGTCGGTTGTGACTTTGGTACTAGGGTCTTAATTTTGAAAGATCCTTTTCACAATTTTGGTTTTAGTTTAGTCAGGAAGGCAAGAGGCTGAAGTGAACTGTGATGACCGTGATGCTCGGGTGCAAGTTATGATGCACTGCTGGAACATAAAACCCGTTCAAATGCTATGCTGCATGTACAGTATCAATACAAGGGAATAGACATACATGTTATAATCGTTACCTTAAAAAAGAGAACAGGAGGAAAATCAAACCTAGTGTAGATCTCAATCGGTACTATTTAAACAAAAATCTGAATCTGTTTGGTGTATTTCCAACCAAAAAAAAGAAAAAACTTTGCAGTGGCTTAGAGTCAGAAGTATGTCAATTCAGTTTATCATCAAATAGAAACAATTAAAGATTTTCACTCTTTCTTTTGTATTTTCTTTTTTTGGTCGGGGGGGGGGGGTAATATGACATGAAATGAGACGAAATCAAACATGAATCGAACCCGTATCAAGTTACATTTGTTTGGAAGTATTGTTTCAAATTTTACATTCTTGACTCTAAGGTTGGATTCAACGCTGGTGACGGAAAGATCTCTTACAGCGTCCCTGGATCTCGGACAGCGGCCGTCGTCGATATCGAAACGACATCGAACATCGGTGTACCTGGAAGATGGGTGTTCAGAACGGACAACTCCAACATCGAAGGATTAGAATGTACAACCTCCGGTGTGTAAACAATCAACAACATTCTTGCTATTGCTGACGTAATAATCATCATCATCATCATAACTTTCCTTTTACTTTTACAAGGGGTTATTTACTTTCGGGTCATGATGACACCCCTTCTCTCCTTTTCTTCTTGTCTCGAGAAACTTCCCCATTTTAACTAACCTTACTGCTTTCTTTCTTCACCATTTCTTTCCAAGAAAATTTCCGTCTTCCTTTGCCCTTTGTGCCATCCACTTCCAGATCCCACGCTCTTTTCACACGTTCATCGTTCTCTTTCCTCAACTCATGATTCATTCATCTCAATCCATTCCTCTTTACCACTTCCACCTCAGTTTATCCCAGATCCAACCATTCCATGTACTCATTTGTGTTCTTGCTATCGGACAGCTTTACACTAAACATCAATAAAGTTAGATTTAGTTCCTTTGTTTCTTTTTTATATCAGCATGTCACATTTCCTTTGAAATACTTTTACGTTTATTCCCTATAAAAAAAAAAATTATCAGGATTTTATAACGTATCATAGATTCGGTCAATTAGAAGATATCTAAAATGATTATGTTTTAGTCATCTCTTGATTTGTAATTCAAAACCTGGTCAAATGACAAGGTTTTGTGTGGAGGTGCGTAGGCAAGTGAGTGTGTTTAGTGCGTGGGTGGGTGTGCGCGTGTGTGTCCTTCTCTCTCTCTCTATCTCTCTCTCTCTCTCTCTATCCGCGTGAACTTAAGTACACATAGGAGCGTACTATCAGTATGCCACGCCCTCGTTCATACCACTTCGTTAACCAGAGGTTGGTTTTCCTCATGACAGGAGACATTTCCTTGTTCCCATTGGTTGGTTCAATGCTTGGCGGAACTCAGGTTCTCATCAACGGACCGTGCTTCAATTCAAACAACCTGATTATCTGTGATTTCGACGGATTTGAGACTTCTGGAAGACTTCTGGAAGACGAGATCGCCCTCTGCGTTTCGCCGACTTTCTACAAGGTTGGACAGATTCCCCTGCGCGTGTCTCTAGATGACGGACGCACGTTCGATTTCACAGGATTGTTCACAATTAGTAAGTTCATATGAATAGCGTCTTGTGTACAAAGCTATAACATGTCCACCTCATGCTGTCATCACTCATCAGGTTAGAATCGCTGGCTTATCCTACAGCTATGCATTACAAGGAATCTTGCCGAAATTCTTAAAAATGATAGTTCATGAAGAAATAAATGATACGTTAATTCATGTTCTAAATCTTATTCCAAACAATAAACAACTGTTCACGGTTATTAATTTTGATTGCTTCTTCATTTGTTGGTATCAGTTCTAGGACACCTACCCCCTGGACATACACCCCCGGATATCCACCCCCAGTAAACTACCACCTAGGACAACTACCCCCTAGGGCAACCACCCTCTAAGACGACTACCCCCGGGAAAACTACCCCGCGGGCAACTACCCCCAGACAACTACCCCCTACGACAACCATCCTGTAGGACAACTAACCCCGGACAACTATCCTAGGGGTAGTTATCCGGGGGTAGTTGTCCGGGGGTAGTTGTCCAGGGGTAGTTGTCCTAAGGAGTAGTTGTCCGGGGTATTTGTCCGGGGATAGTTGTCCTAGGGGGAGTTGTCCTAGTGGGTAGTTTTCTGGGGGTAGTTTTCCCGGGGGTTAGTCCTCCTAGAAGGTGGTTGCCCTAGGGGAAGTTGTCCTAGCGGGTAATCCTAGGGGGTAGTTGACTGGAGGTGATTATCCGGGGATGGATGTCCAGGGGGTAGATGTCCGGATACGGTTGACATCATCTTGCTCGAATAATGCCTAGATATAACTTGAGTGATTTACAGTGCTTCGATTGGAGGTTGGTTCTAGAGAGTGACTTGAGCACAAGTCTGAAAGATTAAACAGATTGCCTCGGTATCATGTTTATGTACCTGGGCATCATTCACGAAATTGTCGTAAACACAACTTCGCCGACATCCCAATGAAACGTGAGTTGATTGTAATATAGACATTTCAATGGGATGTCGACGACTGACTTGTATTTATGACGATTTTGTGAAACGATGCCGAGATTATCTAGACAATTAATTGTTTCCCCTACAGTCAATGTCGAGGACGTTCCTGACAATGTATTTTCCTCGGTAACGGAAAGCAACCAAAGAGAGGCTTACTTCGAGATCACGTGGAACTTAAACCTTGAAGGCGTGGATGAGGTTGACATCGTTGTCTACGGCTACCGAGAGGAGTCAGAAGACAATTTCGTGGAGTTTAGTGGACCTTTGGTCATAGTCGCAGAGGGAGTTGACTATCATCTCGGTCACTACAGTGTTGCAGGGTTACCAGACCTTAACATACATTACGACGTCGGTGTTATTGGGGTCATGGAATCTGAAGGTCAAGGAGGAGAGTAAGAATCAAATCAAATTTGATATCTTTTCCTCAAAATGTAGTAGTATTTGTAATTGTCTTAATGACTCTTTAAAAATACATGTATGCAATTTATATTTTTTAATGTACAAGCATTTTCTTCAACTTCCTCTTTTACTTCTTTTCTTCATGTTTATCCTCTCCGTTTTCCTGACTTCATGTTATATTCTGTTTTCTAAATTTTGCTGCCCAAGCAATCTTATCATATTAACTATATATACTTCAATGTTGACAAATCAATTGTTACTGTATTTTATGTTTGAAATATTCAATGAGTGTTTTAATTGTACACATTACCAATTCAGCCATTAGGCTGCGACACATGTTTGTTTAATACACCTTGATTTGATTGAATGATAAGTTTATCTATCATTTCTTGGTAATTTATATAACGTGCATTGATTATTTGGAGCCTGGTGAACTATTGACCGAGATGTGATCTCGGCGCAGCAATTTTGTAGAGCTGAAGGCGAGGGAAGAATATATAGTATACAAATATACAATGACGCTCGAGGACCTAGGCCGAGGGGAAATAGTACTATTGATGTTCCTGAGTACGAATAGTTTTAGCTTGTTCCGAGTTATTTGTTTCATATCCCTTCCATCGGTGTCATTCCTTAGACACTACTGCGATAACATGTAATGTACTCACATTCACGTCACATTAAAACAAATAAAAGAAAAGAAAATAATAATTGCACTGCTCAAATGAATATTGAATGATGTAGTAGTGTATTGCAGTTACGGCACAGCGTAAATTACACGGCTGAGCGCCGTGACACCGCGGGAATTGCCAGTGCGGAGGCATTTGATATCCTGTATACGCTCGCTAAGTTTTGCCAGATCGGGAGGGGGGCGGGAAAACGAATAGTTCACTTTTTCCCTAGGGAAAGGGTGAACTATTCGTGACGTCAGCAATAAAAATGAACTATTGGGCAGGAAACGTCTTTCCTAGTAAAACTATTCTCTTTCTTGTTGTGTAAACTCCTAATGCAACAATCTTACGATAAGGGATATTATACCTAACATACCTGAGATCACTTAGGCGATGATAGTTTCCACCCGCACGAGAAAAGGGGGTTCATAATTTGTTTGTTTCCCATATAGATATAACGACTGCTTTGATATTTGAGGAATAGTTTCTTATATGCTCTCGGTGACGTTGCATCTCGCTATCACCCCTCGGTACGCCTTGGGTGATAGGAGGATGCAACGTCCCCTTGAGCCTATAAAACAACTATTCCTTTCATAGCAGTCATTCCTCTCATAGCAGTCAATATATTTATACTATCACGCCAAGAAAGAAAATAATAATATCACACCAAGAATAAAGCAATTCACCAGTTTCCATGTGACCTTGAATAGACCAATCGTGTTGCAGGATTCCTGGTAAGTGGGATAGAAATATGTATCTACTTTGTTCCCTTATCGTTATTTTCTCGGGTTCTTCTAGTTCTAACTGGGCTGCCCTCTGGAGCAAGGTCCATGTTCTACAGTGGCACAACGGCAATGACGTCACAAATTGGTGCAATGATTGGATTGAAAAAGAAGTTCTGTCTGATATTTCCTTTCTGTCCGTCACACACTCGTGCCCATGTACACTTGACCAGGCCCAGATCGACATAGGGAGGTTTAGTCCGCATCCGCTGTGCGATGTTGGCATCTCGTCGCCTAGCAACTGTATCCATAAACCTGGGGCGATACACTGCGTACGAGCAGACACACCGAGGTATTTAATTTTAATTATTAATGTGAAAGAGCTAGCTTCTCCATACTATATTGGCATGATTAATAATAACCATTACGAATCCACTTACAACTCTTATAAAGCACTTCACCAGTAACAACTTAGTTGACCGAAGCGCTTAAAGTATTATTAACCTGGAATCAATTACGATTCTACACACACACATGTACATTTCAACGTGCACACTCTCCACTCCACTTGGGTGCATTCCAGCCAAACTTCTTTTTTTAGGACGCCAACATGCTAATCCAAATCACATAATTATGACGTCCACATACTAGCGAGGAGCCATTTAACATCCGGCTGGAGAGTTAAAGTGCCTTTCTCGAGGTTTTAAGTACTCAAGGACGCCTCAACTATATTCGATATTAAACTGATTTCACTTGTTACATACGACAAAAATAGTTTTGTACAATTTTCGTTTTTATACAGTACAGTATGACCTGACCTTTTCAAAGTGTTAGAAATGAACAAGATATGTATATGTTTTAAGATGGATATCCTGCATGAGGGGGAAAGTAAACGTCAACTTCTGCTTTTTCAGCACACTAGGAGGGGGACAGGAGTGTTGCTATGGTGATGAAGGAATGATCATTAATGTAGTTGATAGTCTGGGAGGGGGCTACAGCCATCGTTACCACCATGGGGGCGTTACCCCATATGGAGAACCTAAAAAGGTATGTACCTTTTCGTATGATTATGTATTTGATGTGACTCTTTGTCAAACAATTAGAAGAAGAAAGGAAGAGGATTATACAAAGCGACGAAGAGAACAATTCAACCACACACACCCACCGACGCACACACGCACACACACACACACACACACACATACACACACACAGGCAATATTAGTTCTGCTCGGAGTTTGAGATAATAGGCGAAAATATAACAAATATTGATCTTCCGTGCAAGAAGAAATTGTTTTACAAGTTTTCGCCCTCAAGGAATGATTTTATTTGACTTTAAGGAACGTTATTCGTCAAAACATGTGCATCCTATCCCCATAAAATGTGGCGGTGCGCAAAGAGAGAGAGAGAGAGAGCAGGAGTAATTACGTCATATAGAGATAAGAAGGCAGAAATAAGGAAAAAGGTAATGCTACATTTACACTATGTTCCCGGCGGCCACGGCAACCCCGTTTGACCGAAACGTAGTACGCCGTGGTAATTTGGCCATTTTCCTCTCTGTATTCAAGTTTAGTTACGTCTTGCCAAGTTTTCTCACGGTCTACCACGGTATCCGTGACGGGCCGTTGGGGGAAGGGGATGCTGAGTCCCGGAGGCTCCAAGGCGCACTACTGTTCGGCCCGCGTTCTACCACGGATGACTGAACGTTTCCTCCCGGCCCGTCACGTTTTGATGGGGTCCCTCACGTTCTGTTGGGGTCCCTCACGTTTCTCACGTTCTGATCAAGTTCTGACACGTTTTTTACGTTCTGTCAAGGCTTTCTACGGATGAAACGTGGACGCCGGGCAGCTTTGGAGCACGGTTGTGCCCACGGTATAAAAAGTAGGCCTCCAAAGGCCTCTGTTGGGGTCCCTCACGTTTCTCACGTTCTGATCAAGTTCTGACACGTTTTTCACGTTCTGTCAAGGCTTTCTACGGATGAAACGTGGACGCCGGGCAGCTTTGGAGCACGGTTGTGCCCACGGTATAAAAAGTAGGCCTCCAAAGGCCTCTGTTGGGGTCCCTCACGTTTCTCACGTTCTGATCAAGTTCTGACACGTTTTTCACGTTCTGTCAAGGCTTTCTACGGATGAAACGTGGACGCCGGGCAGCTTTGGAGCACGGTTGTGCCCACGGTATAAAAAGTAGGCCTCCCAAGCACTACTGGTGGTGGTGGTGGTGCAGGACGGAGGGTTTTCGAACGACTTGGCTGTATCGGTGGCATAGCTTGACCTTCTTTCATCGTATTGTAGATGCAGTAATGTGTCGTCGATTGCTCAGACTCGAATGAAGCTCCTGCCGCGTCCGTCTTTTATATACTACCTCCCGACCGCGTGCGACATGTCAGAACGCAACGCGCCGCTTCTGTAAACCGTCAGACGCCGGGATGCGCCGTGATTAACGCAACAAAACGGCTACCATACACCCTGGTCTGCCGTGAGAACCTTGGCAAACCGTGGCAAACCGTGGCAAAACGTGGCAAAACGGGAGAAAATGCGCAGCAACCGTGAAGCAGCCGTGACAAAACGTGCACTAAACGTGGCAGACCGTGACAAAACTTGAACAGACCGTAAGATGCTGGGGAATGTGCGGGCCTCCCTTCCCACTACGGACCACCTCCAAGTTTTGTTACGGCCTATTACGGACTGTCATGTCTTGTTACGTTCACCCCGTTTCGTCCACGGTGGCCTGAAACGTGGTTGCCGTGGCCGCCGGGGACATAGTGTAAACGTAGCATAAGAAGTAATAATACGCCATAAAGAAAGCAAATGAAGAGAGAAAAGGAAAGCACAATACTGAGGACCTGAATTAACAGTTAAGTGAAGTGGAAAGAAAACATACATAGGGAGAGAGAACGAAAAAAAAAGAAGAGAGAGAAAAGGGAAAGACAGAAAAAGCGAAGATATAAGACAAAAGTTAAGAACTGGGAAATTAATGGAAAGTGACATTGAGTCCATCCGGCTGCAAGCAGCCCAGCCGATAATGATTTGTTCTTCCCGGAGCTTGCGATGAACATTTGTACTTAAATAGCATCTGACAACTCCATAAACGTTGATACACATACTTAACATATATTATACATAAGTATAAATAATATATAAATGTGTAGCGACTTGTACATTCGCCCTACTTTTATGGTACATTCATGTCTCCAGTATTTTTCCATCACGCTACTTAATTATATTCATTATTCGGACCACGTGTGTTCATTCCTTCAATCACGCATCGTGTTTCCGCGCATTCCTTCACCCGCGTGTTTTACTCCACTCCCGCTCTCACCTTGGTCGAGTCCACACGTCTCTGTGATCCTCTCTCTATACTCAAGATTTCTTCTGTGCCTTTCGCCTATTCTACGGCACATCTACATTTTCTCTGCCGTGTTCATCGGGCTACAGTCTCCCAGTGGAACGTTATAGTCAGCACCGACATGGCGCCTGACTCTCCGCTGGGAGCTGCCAATTTTCCTCGTTCCGGTAGCTCTTTCCACTCACGAGCTCATCAATTCACCGCAGCTCATCTAAACATTTCTTCATCAAAGTCCTGGTCATTCATCGAGCGACTCACTGCTCTTCTTAACTACCGGCTTTGCTTGTCTACATTTCTATTCTTCACCCCCACACGAGCACGACTCACATAGCTCGTCTGAACAGTTCATCAATGAGTTCGATTCACCGCAGCTCTGATAAACTTCACATCAATCAAAGTTCGGCTCATCCAACTCATCGAGCGACTCACTGCTTCGCATCGGCACCGACGTTGTTTTCATCATTTCTACTCTTCGCCTCCGACATCGAACGACCCACTGTTCCGTCGTCGAGCGCCACATCTCTTCTCTTCTCTTCTCGCCTGAGAGCTTCTTCACTATCTTCATCACGAGCGTCAGCGTCGAGATTCTTCACGGCTCTTCAGCCACGGCTACGAAGCTTCATCTCCACCTTCAAGCCTCCACAGCATTCATCGCGTGAGCCCCTTCCTTCGTTCTCAACTCTCTTCATCTTCATTGGACTTTCGACGTCATTTCATCTATGTCGTAAGCTCTATTCATTCATTATGTACATCGCATTTATTCATGTTCATTCTCATCTTTGATCATTATGTAATCTCCGTGCAATATTCACATTTACCATTTATGCATTTTTATTCTGAGTCATCGACTTCATCGACTTGTGCTTGGCTACGCTTTGCAAGTGTACGACCAGCCTCATCAGTACCCAATAAACATAACGAAAAGGGAATACTTTTATTCTTGTATTTTATTGTCAGTGCAACCTTGCTTCCTCGTAGCTAAAATAAAAATAAGAGTTATGTTGTGTGACGAGTGAACACGCCTTTACAATATTAATTCACAATACCCCCACACACACGTTTTACCACAAATGTAAAAAAAAAAAAAAAAAAAAAAGACCTATGTAACAGCTTTGGCAACTCCCGTGGAAATAAATACAATGCGAAAGGAAACTAGAGAACAATGGTTGCGTAGCTTGAAACATAGTTCGTTATTGTGTGCAAGTTATAAATAATATCATGTGACTCTTTAACTCTTCAGGTACCATATATGTCGCACTACCTCGTCGACATCTTGCCCTGGACCTACTGCTGTACTACTGGTGGACCATATGAGTGCACAAATTTTGGTCGCCAACGGCCTTCTCAAACTTGCAACAACTACGTACCGCCTCCTCCAGGTATTCTTTTTTTGCATCAGTTTTATCGATCTCCGCATAACCCTGATGACATTTTTCTATAATTCGACATATTTGGAAATATATGTGTGTAACCATAAAACCTTGTTCACATCAGACGAGGTAAAAAAAAAACCTGCAAACAAAAGGCTGATGTTATTCTATTTCACATTTTTTTCAAATAACAATATTTTCATGTCGACAAAGGAAAGATAATTAAGCGTTTTTGTAAGAAAAAGATATCTGGATGTCTCTGTGCACTTTACAAAACAGAATACAGAAGGAGTGGAAATGGTGCACTGGGTTCATAATCATTGTGAGATTTTACAAAGTGCTAAATAAATATGTTTTCAAATTACTTCTGAATAGTTTGTACGTTTCTTCATTTCTAAGGTATTCCGGCAAGTTATTTTATACAACAGTGGCTGCATTTGAAAATGACCTTTCCCTGTTAGATTTTGTTATAGTTTGTGGGTCATGAAATAAAGACTTTTTACTGGAACACAACGTTCTTTCTGGTTTATACTGTATTAACAATTCAATGAGATATGATGAAGCAAACTGACGGAAACATTGATAAGTTCATACAAGTACTTCATACCGGATGCGGGACTGGATAGGTAGCCAATGTATGTTTCTTAAGACTGGAATATTGATTGATGTTTTTGGTTTGTGTTACGAGTCTGGAGTGAAAATATATTAGAAGATCATCTCTGACACCCTCCTAAAACCATTTCCCCCTTCAATATCATTTACTAAACTTTTTCTTTTTCCCCTATTTATCCCCCCCCCCCCCCCCCCCCTCCCCCTCCATATATCTCTCCCTCCCTCTCTCTTTGTCACACCATAGCATTGGGCAATGGCGATCCACATATTTCAACTCTTGACTCGACCACGTACACCTTCAACGGTCACGGTGAATTTACTATGCTGAACGCACCGATTGACTCCTTCATCTTACAAGCAAGAACGGCTCCTCTCGTTGGTAAAATACTTTTTTTTCCATTTATTATTTTAGCTCAGTCTTCAGTTAAAATGTACTTGTCACGTCGATGTCAATCCGATTTTACATCCGTTTGCGGGTTTACCCAGATCAAGAAGGTTTAAGAGCTGGAGTCCCACCTGGAAACAAATTATTTCAAGCAGCTGCCATTTTCTAAGGTTGCACAATAAAATCTACGGGTGAGCTGTTACCTTTGATGTCCGAGGTTCGAAGCCGCCAACATCATTGGAAAGCTTGAGTAGTGATTTTTCTCACATTGAAATATCGTTAATATGTCATCGGGAAAAGTGAATAGATGATAAAATATGAATACAAAAGCCTAATTCTGTCGAGAAATTTGCTGACATTGTATAGTAGCAGTTTTAATTTGTGAAAATTAGTAAAATGTTACAATCCTAAAACCTGCAATCTAACAATTTTCCGATTACTTCCGGCTCACGAAAATAAAACGTGAATTTGTTCAAGTACAGTTCTTTATGATGTTATATGTCAGATTAGTGCCCACACATACCCAGTCGATTAATTTTGATTGAAATTCCAGGAGATTTTGCTCCATTTCCTTTCGCTTGCCTCCATTAAAGTTAAGCGCAGTGTACTGCTCGTAGTGTTAGACTAGTGATAGCGATAAGTAATAATTATTACAAAAGCATGTTTCCCTTTGTAGGTGACCCGTTACTTTGCAGCTGGGCAGACATCTTTTGTCTACATATCTGCATAAAGATCCAATTAAACACATGCCTGACATATTGTCGCCTAGCGGCATCGAAGATGGTATAAAGGGAATGAGCTAGATATGACACCATCTCTTAAAACTCCTTGCTCAGATACAATAAAATTTTAATTTCTGATAGACTTTTACGTATTTATTGACAGACATTTTTGTAACTAGCATTAAGTTATTATAATCTTCTTATCGTAAATAGGTTCTAAAAGAGTACTTGAAATTACCTGGAGCTTCTTAAAAGCTATTTTCAAGAAACCTACGTGAAAGGTGCATGTAAAAACCTTGGGACTTAAATGTTTTAACCTTTAGAGATTCTAAAATGAACACCATTCAAGAGATTCCTTAATAATCACGTACACAAGTTCCTCGAAACAACTATTTAGGTTTCTAAATATGGGACAAGATTAGGAACCCAACCGGTGCTATCATCTTTTTTTTGTTAGAAGGGAAACACCTCTGCCTATGCTCAATGATGAAACTAATGCCAGGATATTCATCATATTCATAATGAGTAAAGAAGTCAGAGGTCATCTTTCCGGAATGTCTGTACACTTCCACATCATTCTAAAGGAAAATATGATATTCATGTATTAGTTGAACAAATGTTCATAACAAAATGTATGTCTTACTGTGTCTTCCATTGCAGGAACGTCCGATGCAACGGTGTTTGTTGCCATGGCAGTACGATTTGGTGATAGTGATGTCATTCATGTTCAAACCAATGAACGCAGGGTTCTTGATGCCTATGTCCGACTAGCCGGAGATGGACAACACTTCACAAGGATTGAATTCGATCAAGCTTCTCGATGGTCATATTCAGGTATAAGAAATTATAAGGAATCTTATCGCACGCCGGGCGATATTAATAGTATACATTCATCAGTGACAGCGGGTGACAGCACGCGTGAGGGTGGCGTCTCTCTTGTGATGACCTTTTGCGGCATCTTGAGAGAAAACAACAACATGCCGACGCCCTTTGTGTCAGCACGGTATCTTTCATGTGCGCGTAGCTATAAACGGAAATAGTGCGCGGAATGTTTCGAATCTATATATGGAATTGTATTAGCCGAGATGTATTGGGTTCCCACGGTGCAAGCGTGGGATTCCTCATTCTACTTGCGGTTTTGGTAGACGATGTATGTAGACATTGATCGGTCGCAAATTAATTTACCCTCCACCACCCCAAATTTGTTTTTTCACCTCCTTACGTTTTTCAAGCGTATTCGATAGGGGGTCTATTCGCTATTCGTAAGGACCGCTATTCATAAGGTCCGCTATTCATAAGGACCGCTATTCATAACGTAGAAATTCCTGTACTTCCTGGTCCGCTATTCATAATGGTAAAAGAGGGTCACTTTTCATAAAGAAATAAGGTTCGTTGATCATAAGGACCGCTATTCATAATATGAAATCAGGGTCGCTATTCATAATACGAAGAGAGGGTCGCTATTCATAATACGAAATAAGGTTCATTACTTATAAGGGTCGCTATTCATAACACCGGAAGAGGATCGCTATTCATAATAGGAGAAGAGGGTCGCTATTCATAATAGGAGAAGAGGGTCGCTATTCATAATAGGAGAAGAGGGTCGCTATTCATAATACGAAATGAGGTTCGCTATTCATAATAGGAGAAGAGGGTCGCTATTCATAAAAGGAGAAGGGGGTCGCTATTCATAAAAGGAGAAGAGGGTCGCTATTCATAATAGGATAGTAGAAGACGGTCGCTATTCATAATAGGAGAAGAGGGTCGCTATTCATAATAGGAGAAGAGGGTCGCTATTCATAATACGAAATGAGGTTCGCTATTCATATTAGGACAAGAGGGTCGCTATTCATAATAGGAGAAGAGGGTCGCTATTCATAATAGGAGAAGAGGGTCGCTATTCATAATACGAAATGAGGTTCGCTATTCATAATAGGAGAAGAGGGTCGCTATTCATAAAAGGAGAAGAGGGTCGCTATTCATAAAAGGAGAAGAGGGTCGCTATTCATAATAGTAGAAGAGGGTCGCTATTCATAATAGGAGAAGAGGGTCGCTATTCATAATAGGAGAAGAGGTTCGCTATTTATAATAGGAGAAGAGAGTCGCTATTCATAATAGGAGGAGAGGGTCGCTATTCATAATACGAAATGAGGGTAGCTATTCATAATACGAAATGAGGGTTGCTATTCATAACAGGAGTAGAGAGTTGCCATAATACGAAATGAAGGTCGATATTCATAAAAAGAAATGAGGGTCGCTATTCATAATAGGAATAGAGTGTTGCTATTCATAATACGAAATGAAGGTCGATATTCATAATACGAAATTAGGGTCGCTATTCATAAAAGAAGTAGAGGGTCGCTATTCATAATACGAAGTGAGGTCGCTATTCACAATACGAAGTGAAGGTCGATTTTCATAATAGGAGTAGATGGTCGCTATTCATGATACGAAATGAGGTTCGCTATTCATCATAGGAGAAGAGGGTCGCTATTCATAATACCGAAAAAGTCAAAGTGACATAAGCAATAAACTAAATATTTATGAGAAAGCGACATGCTGGATAGAGGACACCCCATGGCTACAGCGTAGGCCGTGGCTGGGGCGTAGGCCGTGGGTGGGGTAGGCCACATGGTCCAAAACATTTGAAGAAAACATTTATTGAAAACTCACATTTCTGAAGAAAAAAAAGGCGTTCCCCAATATTGAACGTGTCCCATCATTCCGGTGACCAGCCCCCCCCCCCCCACAAGTAAGCCCGACCACGCTGCGCCATTCTGCCCACCCTCCCGGCAGTATTCCCTTGGTACATGTACATATTAGCGACAATTCTCGTCCAAGTAGTTCATAGATGGCGTAGCCTGTGTGTGTTTAAGGGTGTGGGGGGCGGTGGGGTTGTATCAGTGTTGCCTTCGAGCGACAGAGAGAGGGTTGTAGGAACTTAAGTTATATACCATATTCAAGCTTTTTGTAAATATAAAATGTCGCACGACATATTTTCCATATAAGTAAGGAAGTTGGATATTTAGAATCAGATAAAAAAAAATTACCGTAAGACATTATGCGAACGGTTCCATCCCCTGTCTTATGTATTTTGTTAAAATTATTTTACTTTTTAGCTTTGATAATTATAGACATCCCCATAATCTAGCTAATATATTTCCCCCGCTACAGCGGTGAGAACAAGAAGGAAAACACACATAATCCTATCGTCATTTGTCCCGCTTGTTGGAAATCTTGCCCCACCACCCTGCCCCCCCCCCGACTAAGCTTATCGTGGCTACGCCACTGGCACATTAAGTAGAACAAGCATGCTCATTATCATAGCCATTTAAGGACTTAGTTTGCTATTTTAAGAAACTAGTAATTGTTTATACGAAAATAATATTTGTGTAAAAAGTAACTTTTAGTAGGACTTATGGAACTACAAATTATATAGCCTTAGTCAGATCCAGGCACGCAAAAGCTCTTCAATTTCAGCCAATGAAGAGTTTCAAGATTTCAGTTTTCCATGAATTATCATGCCTCAGGATACTAATAATCATATTAATTAACCTAACTTGATTTATCCAAAAACTTGATCTCCTGAAACTTTCCTAACATCGAAAAAAAACGGAGTTTGACCGGACTATTAGCCTATACACTGTGAAAAAGTTGGGCAATATTGTTTAAATTGGCGTGGGGTCCAGGGGCAAAGCCCCGGTGAGGGTCAAGGAAGCTGTGGTGTTTTAAGCATTACAATAAGGTCAGATGAGCTTCCAGGGGCCCGCCTAAGGGCCTTTGGTGGGGTCTGCATGCCCCCGGAAGCTCGGGGGTTTTAGGCATTAAATTACGGTCAGATGAGCATATTTTGATACCTCATTTGTGAAACCGGCAGGTCACCTTTCTTTCTTTCTTTATATTTCCCCATTAACATACTTTTCCAAAAAGGTGTGAGTGTGTGGGGGGGGGGGTTCAAACTATGACACGTAAGCTCCTAAAGTAGCATTTTTTTGCCCGAGTATAAATTTTGGAATTAGTCACTTTTCAACAAACGCATACAAAAGTATGATATTAAAAAAAGTGAAAAAAATCTCGGAAACTTGGAAAATCGTTTTATTTCAGCAACATTTGTAAATCACTGGTATCGAATTAAAAATAAACCACGTTTCAAAATTTCAAGCCCCCCCCCCCCTCTCTCTCTCTCTCTCTCTCTATCTCTCTCTTACTCCCATCCTTCTTCTCTCAGGCTTTTCCCCCTCTCTCTCTCTCCTCTTTTTCATCCCCCCGTTTTTTTCTTTCCTTTTCCTCTTTTTGTCCTTTTCTCCTTTTCTTTATTTTCCTTTCTTTCCTCTCCTTCATCGTTTTCTTTTTTTCTTTTTCTCGGATTTCTCCCTTCTTTCTCTTTCCTTTCTTTCCTATCTTTTCCTTTTCTTGTTTTCTCTCTTTTCCTTTCCCTCTCATTTCCCCTCTCCCCCTTTTCTCATTTTCCCTCGATAGCAGCGCAATTTTACAGACAATATCCCGACAGTCATTTTTCGTACCGTTTACCGTCCGTACATCCAGGCGCGGATCCAGGGGGCGAGGTGGCAAATGCCCCCCCCCCCCCCATAAAAAAAGAGGAGAGAGAAAGTGAGAGAAGGAAAAGAAGGGAAAGGTAAAGAGGAGAGAAAGAAAAGAAAGAAGAGGAAGAAGAAAAGAAATGGGGGAAAAGAAGGTAATCGGGGGGGCCTTGCCTCCACCCCTTCCCCATACAAAAGAGGAGAAAAAGAGGAAAGAAAAAAGAGGAAGAAGAAAAGTAAAGAAACGGGATGTCAGTTGCGATTTTCCCGCCAACAAGGTTTGGATCGAAAGGCCCTTGCCTCCCCCTCCCCTCAGCAAAAAAAGAGAAAGGAAAAGAAAATAAATAGGGGAACATAATTTTTACGCCCCTCTCACCCACCCCCCCCCCCCAACGAGAACAAACGCCAGAAACGCCACTGGACACCACAGGCATACTCAGTGGCGGATCCAGGGGGCCGAAACGGCCGCGGCCCCCCCCCCCCCTCCTATTGGCGGTGCAAAAAAAAAGAGGATAAAAAGAAGAGAAAAAAAGGAGAAGACAAAAGACAGGAGAACAGAAAAGAAAAGAGAAGAGACAAGAAAGAAGAGAAAAGAAACACAGAGAGAGGAGAAAAGGTAAGCCCCCCACCCCTCCCCCCTGCGTACGCGTACCCTAGATAACACTGAGTGGGGGGGGGTCGGGTGAGAAAGGTGAAAAGACAAGGAAATGGCGCTTAGTGACAGTAACTTTTGAGCCACGGAATCAAAGTTAAACGTTAAAACAGCCCCTTGTAATTAACGGTAGGGGGGCCGCTTCACAACTCTTATTTTGCCCTTCATTTGGCTTTAGCTCATATAAACTCGCTTGAGCTTGTTTTTGAGCTCATGTTGGTAGTAATCATGGACAGGGCGGCAATTCTGGCCCGATAGGAGGACACGTCCCCCAGGAAATTTAGAAATATAGCTAGAAAGATATAATTATAGCGGAAAGAACGTACATATTGGGCCTAGGGATTTCCTAGAGTGCATAATGTCAGCATTCAACATTGCAAAATCTCGCTTGGTCGCTACGCTCCCTCGCCCAATAACACAAAACTATGATATGACACTCGGCCCACGCTCCCGGCCGTGATTTGTCCATGGTTGTTGCAATAATTGTTGTTCTTTTTCATTTCTACTAACAATATTGTGTGCTATCACAATCATGATTGATTCATTTTCCCTTTAAAGCCGGCGCGTAGCCAGAGTCGAGAATGGAACAACGAATCGTCTTTTTTCTCTAATAATTTCATTAAACTATGAAAGGTCAAAGCTTACGCGCTTTGCGCAAGAGGGGGGGGGTGGGAGCTGAATAATAATAAGGATTAATAATCGAGAATGGTACAACAAATCCTCTTCTTTCTCTAATAATTTAATGAAACATTAAAGCTTCCACGTTTCGCGCAGGAGGGGGGAAACTGAATTCAGACAAGGATTAATAGTCGAGAATGGTACAACAAATCCTCTTCTTTCTCTAATAATTAAATGAAACATCAAAGCTTCCGCGCTTCGCGCCGGAGGGGGAGGGGGAACCAAATTCAGACAAAATAAAAGGGTCGAGAATGGTACAACGAATCGTCTTCTTTCTCTAATAATTTCATTAAATTATGAAAGGTCAATTATGAATAGCGACCCTCATTTCGTATTATGAATATCGACCTTCGTTTCGTATTATGAATAGCAACCCTCCACTCCTATAATGAATAGCGACCCTCATTTCGTATTATGAATAGCTACCCTCATTTCATATTATGAATAGCGACCCTCTACTTCTATTATGAATAGCGACCCTCTCCTCCTATTATGAATAGCGACCCTCTTCTCCTATCATGAAAAGCGACCCTCATTTCGTATTATGAATAGCGACCCTCATTTCGTATTATGAATAGCGACCCTCATTTCGTATGATGAATAGCAACCATTTACTCCTATTTTGAATAACGACCTTCATTTCGTATTATGAATAGCAACCCTCCACTCCTATAATGAATAGCGAATCTCTTCTCCTATTATGAATAGCTACCCTCATTTCGTATTATGAATAGCGACCTTCTACTTCTATTATGAATAGCGACCCTTTCCTATTATGAATAGCCACCCTCTTCTCCTATTATGAATAGCGACCCTCATTTCGTATTATGAATAGCGACCCTCATTTCGTATTATGAATAGCAACCCTTTACTCCTATTATGAATAGCGACCCTCATTTCTTGTTATGAATAGCGACCCTCATTTCATGTTATGAATAGCGACCCACATTTTATATTATGAATAGCGACCCTCAACTCCTATTATGAATAGCGACCCTATACTCCTATTATGAATAGCGACCCTTTACTCCTATTATGAATAGCGACCCTCATTTCGTATTATGAATAGCGACCCTCATTTCGTATTATGAATAGCGACCCTCATTTCGTATTATGAAAAGCGACCCTCTCCTCCTATTATGAATAGCGACCCTCTTTTTCTATTATGAATAGCGACCCTCTACTCCTATTATGAATAGCGACCCTCTTCTCATATTATGAATAGCGACCCTCATTTCGTATAATGAATAGCGACCGTCATTTCCTGTTATGAATAGCGACCCTCATTTCGTGTTATGAATGGCGACCCTCCACTCGTATTATGAATAGCGACCCTTATTTCGTATTATGAATAGCGACCCCTTTTCTGTGTTACGAATACCGACCCTTTTGTCATAATATGAATAGGGACCCTTATGAATAACGAACCCGATTTCGTATTATGAATAGCGACCCTCTTTTAATATTATGAATACCGACCCTCTTCTTTGATTATAAATAGCGGTCCTTACGAACAATGACCCTCATGAATAATGACCCTTTCCTCCAAATTATAAAAAGCTGATCTTATGAATAGCGGTCCTTACGAATAGTAGACCTTATGAATAGCGAACCTTATGAATAGCGGTCCTTATGAATAGCGATATTGACCTTTCGATAGTATGTTTTACTAATTTTAAGTGGTCAGGAAAATTAATAGTGTGTTAAGTGATTAACATAACGGATTAATAATGATCGTTTATCCACCTCAGTCAAGTACATCTTGATGTCGAAGCAATGCTTGGCAGGTTGGGGCTTTTCTGCGAGATTTTTTCCATATATATATTTTATTATAAACATATAAAGGGTATTATATGTATTACACACTGCTGCAAGATACCTCATGAGAAGGTTGTGTTTTTGAGAATATGAATTGCATTATTTTAATTGGCCATTGTATCGTGCAGAGCTCAATGTATTGGTGGGGCCCCGATGAGTCCAGGCATTCCGTCCTGTCGTTTGTTTATAACTTGTACCCGCCTGTAAATTAGGCATCTGTTAGCCTGTCAAATGCAGGGACCTGTTTGCCTTCTTGTATGCAGAGGGGTGTTATACGTATATCCTGTACTCACAGTTCCAAATGAGAAGGTAAACTTTGTTCGTCAATTTAATGCAGGAAACAGTATCGACATTTTACGGGCTGTGGGGAGGTGTACACAATTTTTCGTCTTTTGGTGGCCTCGATGCAGTACTTTGTATTGGACATGGTAGCTCCATGCTCCAGTGTGTTCAGGTGCAGATACTTGTATAAATTGATCAAAAGATTCGAAAGTAATACCCGGGTCTTTTCCTGGGGCGGATTGGAGCAGTGTTACATTTAAAGTAAAAGTATTCTATATTCAGTTGGGAAAGCTTGTATCGTAGTTGTTGCTATTGTTTGTTACTGTGAATGTAAACAATTTTTTGTCCATATCGCTCCCGTTCTTGGAAAATATCACGTCTATCAAATTAACCTCGTTTGGGGGGTTTTCACGTCATGCGGTAAGATTTATATTAATTCAGTTATGTATCCTAGAAATGTTTTCCCTCTTCTTCCTATCAAGAAGAAGCTGGGAAAGCAGTTAATTTTCTTTAACAGTTGCAAGACTTTAATGTTTTGACAAAGTTGGTTTAGAGGAATATCGCATCACTCGAAAATATGATGTTACTTCGAGCCAAGAATGTCTAAGCTTTAGGAATACTGTTTTTTCACAAGCTACTGAGCTCTCTCAAAATGAGCAGAACCATAATGTTCTAGATCCTTTAATTATTTTTTTTCTCTCATATTTTGCTATTAATACCAATTGTTGTACGATAAGCTAGTCAATACCATGCATAGTTGAGTTCTTTAGTATCCATCTTTTTGCTTCTATTCGCTTTCTTAGGGGTCTCGGTAACCGGTCGCAACATTACCTCAGATGGAATTATTGTATCTTTCGACGGAGGGGTAGGACTGACGTTGAAGGCCTCAGAGGGGGCCATGAGCATTCTTCTTGTAGCTCCAGATTCCTTCCTAGGTCAGACGCAAGGCCTGATGGGAACGTGGAATGGTGATGCCAGTGACGATTTTCTTACTCCTCAGGGATCTTTTCTTTCCGCTGATCTGACTACTGAGGAGTTGCACTACCAGTTTGGACTATTATGTAAAATCAGATTTCTTGCTTTCAATCATGTTTCCTCTCACTGTATGTTAATATTGTTTATAATTGTCAAAACATTCTATAATCTTCTTTGCCTTTACTTATTTTCATTAATATTTTGCCCGTCATAGATAGGATTGTAAAAGAATGCAAGCAATGTGAGGGTATTTAGTTTATAGTTGAGTTCTGGTCTTGTAATTAAATTTTGAAGGAAATCATCTAGAAGTTACTTTAAGGTTTTCGATTATCAAAACTACATTGGATTGAATCACCTTGGCGACATCACATGCACTGCACCCCGAAATGGGCATTTGGGACTATATCTACATGTCAAATTTATGTTTGCTCGAAACTTCTCAGCCATTGCTCGTAATTTTTCCAGCGAGGACATTTGATAAGCAATGTACGAATTTACTTGTAAGAAATTCTTCCAAATTTAATTTTACCATTAAAACAAAGGCTAAGAAAGCTCACAAATTATTTCATCACCAAAACTTTGCCTTCTCCTTAAAGTGACTTGGTAACATTGTTGAAGGTTGATGAAAAAATTGCTTAATTTTTGTATAAAATGTTACTTACTATATTCCTTCTACTGTATTAACCCTCTGACATCCACACAATCCTGAACAAATTGTTAAACCACGAAGATATCTATGATTTTCTTTGAAGGCGTCGATGTATGACACCCTCTAAAAGTGATTAACAGTAAGTTCTCCCAACCATTTTTGAATTTTCCCGACCGTTTTTCCATGAAAAAAAAAACATAAAACAGGCTATAAAAAATCCGTCAACACTGAAATGTCTGGAATGGAATGCCATTTTATTGCTTGTGAAATTGTGATAATATAGTTGGGAGAATTAAGGAATCGATCAGATCAGTTTTTCCCAATTTGTACCATGAGCAATGGTCCATTTTCACTCAAATTTTCAGATTATCTTTAATTGTACATCTAGCATTGAAGTCACTACCTTAGCACCACTATCTCTATCCTGAACAATGTTACCAAGTCCCTTTAACCTCGGGGATGCAAGACCATCCCCTCCAAAATTGTATCATGATTCTTTGAATACCCTCCATAGCGTCTGTGTCTAAGGGTACGTTTTTGCTCAATTTTGAAGGCAGAATGAGCGATTTGAAACGCTCATCGTAAACGCTCATCGTAATCGCAGTTCCACGATGTACTGTTAATGCACACTTATCTGGCTCATCCAGGTATGATTCTGGCTCAGAGCCAGAATCATGCCTGGAGGAGCCAGAGAAGTGCAGTGCAGAGTCTGCAGCTCGATTCGCAAATGTTGACCCCATTTAAACGCGTTTACAAATGATTGTGCGTTTATGCTTCCCCAGAATCGCTGATTTTGCAGAATCGCCGATCCAAAATGCACCTTTTTGTGAGTTTACGATCGGCGATTACGATCGCCGTTTTTCTGTGATTCTACAAAAATGAGAAAGGACGCAACCGTATTTTAAACTAAACGCGTAACAAATGCCTCATTCTGGCCAGAAAAAGAGTAACCCTTAGAGTAATGATTGTCTGCATTCTTGGTCACTTCTTTTTACTTCAACACAGGGGAAATCGAAGCAGCAAAATCGTTGTTCTATTACGAACCGGGCAAGGACCACGAATTTCATACCGACCGTACTTACACCCCTGTCTTTGAGCCTGTCGCCAACCCTTTTGTAGACCAGAGCCTTGTGGTAGAAGTCTGCGGTACAAACCGGTTCTGTATCTTCGACTACCAGACAACGGGGTCGCAGAGTTTTGCCCGGAATTCCGTGGAGGCACTTGTGCAGTATCAACAGGCAGTCGACAACAGAGCATCGTTCGGTATATTTTAAAATGTCATACCGGTTACTCACAAAACCTCATTTTATTGCGCCAATATCATTCATCCATTTAATATAATATCAAAAGAACACGACAGAGCCTCTAGGTTCAGACGCATCTTCTTGACGCAAGGTAATGACAACCTAGCGCAAGATTTCGTCTTGTTATGCCCGCGTTGCGCTTGAGACAACGTTTCGTTTTCGTTATTACCTGCGCTAAAACCAAGTCTAACCAAGAAAGTAAACAGCCATTTACCGAAAATTAAAGGCAGTGTTTGAACTATTCATTTCGTATTAGTTCTGGTTATGATTTCACTCTCACAAGGCATGTCAAAGACAGCGCGAGTCAATGTTGCTGTCTTCCGTCAGCAATATAACATCTCGTGTGCAACGGGCTTTAAAAATATACCATTATTCCATACACTCTCGCTATAAAGCAAACCACTTGATACGGGTTTGATTCCTTATGTGCATCTCGTGTTATCTGTATTGCTCGTTGTATCTTTGTCAAAGATTATTCTGTTTGAAGGAATCTATTGGCGCACATGAATAACGCCTTGTATTGCTTGCTACACACGAAGTGTTAATTCCCTTGGGTCAATACAAGATAAATGCACAGGACAGACACGGACGCGGTTTGTTGGCACAGAGTTGGCACTCAGGGTTTGACTCGTTGTTGACGGAGCCCTACTTTTAAGGATATCATTGACTGTAAAACTTCATCTTCATCATATGCTGATTTCGCCGATATGCTTTTTTGAACCTGTATTTCCTTTGTTTATATTTTGTTCTAATCATCATTTCTTAAGTGAGTTGCCCAACTCTTCCCGCCCCTGCTAACGGAAGTGCCAACGCGACGACCAACATGACAGGGGGCGTGGCAAGATTCGTGTGCGATGCCGGCTTCGAACTGAGTCACCTGGTTAACTTAACCTGCCAATCAAATGGTAGATGGAGTGCTGGCGATATCCCGACATGCATCAGTGAGACTACGACGCCAGGTAAGCAATTTAGTCAGGTCAATGTTGAATGAGCCCTTACCTTTTTGTTTTAATCTGTTGTTGTTTTCGTCATAGAAACTAACCAATCAAAAGAAAATAACAAAAAGTTATAAAATATATAAACATAAACAGAATATAAATTTTACATAAGCAAGGAGAAAAAATCTTATGGCATAAGATTTGTTTTAAATATCAAGAACGAAATAAGGCACAATAAAATAAATAAAAAGAGAAAACGGAGAGCTGAATAGCCCATGGGTACCAGAAAGAAATAGAAGAAGGATAAGATGGAGAAAGAAAAAAAACAAGATGAACAATAGTATTTGAATAAATTATGTTAACGTCTGACGGTATTAATTAAATTAGTTGTAAAAGAGATCGTTTGAATAAAGGGAGAGATATACAATTGCTAACATAAATGGAAATGATATTTCGTATATCCTAGCCCCCACGTAGAGAAAAAGGACGTTTGCAGTTGTTTGTTCGGGATCTGGGAAGGGAAAGATTATTGTACCATAGCTGATAAGGTATTGGGGTATAAAATTTGTTTACAGTTAAATAATATGGTGCCATACTATTGAGGACTTTAAACACCAGTGCACTGATATAGAATTTTTGTGAGACTTCAAAGTCTCCCACCGCATTATTTCATGCATTGAAGTAACAGAAAAATGTAATTGAGGCTTTATTTTTCAGAATAGTCCTTCCTAATCTATTTTGTAGCTTTTGTAATTGATTTATATATTTTTCATAAGGAGATTGTCATATTATGTCCGCAAAATTTAAATAAGGTAGAATAACATTTTGATGTATGAGTTTTAACTTTTCTTTTTCTTCTGTTAAGATAATTAACAACATTTGTATAGCGCTTATCACAAAATATGTCTCTAAGCGCTTAAGAAAAATAGAAAGAGAAGGAATTACAGCCAAATATTAAGTTATACATAATAGATAGTGGACAATCGAGGGGGCTGCATATGCAAATAAAAAAGGCTATTTAACAAAAAAGTAGGTTTTTAACATGGATTTGAATTTGTCTGTTGAATCTGCTTGTTTTATACATTGAGGTAAATTGTTCCAGAGTTGAGGGGATGCTGCATAAAAAGTTCGGGAACCATAAGACTGGGTATTGGTGGCAGGAACTATTAAGAGTGATTTCTTGTTTGAGCGCAGGTTGCGGGAGGGTAAGTATTCTGATATCAGCCTTTGAAGGTAGACTGGAGCTGTTTTTGTCAAACATTGGAAAGTCAGCAAGAGGATCTTAAAATCAATTCGTTCCCGGACTCTTAGCATGTGAAGCTCCCTCAACAGTGGAGTGATGGACTCACGTGAACGACGCTTTGCAATAAGTCTAGCAGCTGAATTTTGTACTCTCTGCAATTTGTTAATTTGTGCATCAGGAAGACCATACAGAAGACTGTTGCAAAAGTCAATACGAGACATGACCAGTGACTGAACAAGTCTCTGGGTGGTCTTTTTAGTAAGAAACTGACGGATGCTACCGATTTTATGCAACGCAAATGAGGCAAATGAGGTATTCGATTCTGGATCCTGTATGAAATAACGTTTGTTTTTTTCCTTACCCCTTTTTGTATAAAACTAAATACCTAAAAACTGCAAAGTTATCCGAACAGATAAAATACAAATATCAGTAAATATATGAAGTTTTTAAGTCAAGAATAAAGTAAATCATTTCCTCTTTCCCTACAGTTCTGTCGACGCCCGCTATCATCGGAATATCTGTGGGATCGGTCATTCTGATCGTTTTGATCATGATTGTCATCATTTTGATCTGCCTACCAAAACAACGTCCACCGTCGAGCAGGTATGCTACATTTGTTTGTTGGCGCCAAAGAAATAAAAAAGCACTGTCATCATAATAGCAATGACCTTAACAAAAGCAACTGCCGACAATTTCTATACCCTATTGTACATCCAATATAAACCATGTTGGGATCACGTACTGTATTACGTGTAGTGTTCGCACGTGTTAATATTTCATTGACAGGGCTATTGACGTTGCCTTGACTTTCAAGAAGTCATTGCCATCATGGGATTTCAGGTAGACCTACATTTATGTGTCCTTGTACAGGGCCTTTTAAAGAGGGTGCTCCGATTTGTGGAGGTGTCATAGTATAGTGGTTCTGTCATTAACTTGTCATGTCTCTCAATCCAAGAGTTGAGGGCTCAAATCATTGTCAGGCACTAACGTCCTTTACAGCAAGAAATTAATCCACATTGTCTGTGTATTAAGCTCTTTATTAAACCATATATTAATTTTCCTTAAATTAGAGGGTAAGGGTTAGTGTTACAATTGGCTTGTAGGTTAGGTTTTGAATTAGCATTAAGTTTGGGTTATTGGAATGTAGGGTACCGTGTTAAGCCTAAAAATTCGTAGGAATTTACCGCAAAGGATACACATGGTCGACTAGAAAAGTGTCTAACAACTATCACGAGCTTCACCTAACACCATTACATAATTATTTAGCATTATCCCGTTTAATAATGCTAAATATATTACTTATTGCGGATGTAGCATCGAAAATAATATCTCTAGTGATATTCGTTTGTCTCGCAATGTCAACAAGGGATCTAAAAGATTACGACGTTTCGTGCGCCGCTGCAACACTTCGTCAGGTAATAACATATATTGTAAGCAAGTGTTTTTTATACTCTACGGGCGATCACCTGACAAAGTGTTGCAGCGGCGCACGAAACGTCGTGATATTTTAGATCCCTTGTTGACCAAGATTGCGAGACAAACGACGCCCACTAGCGATGTATTTTCGATATTATCCCGTTTGTTTGTATACTTCATTTTCATTATTATGATGACCTTTTCTTTCATCCTCAAACTTCTTATCGCTCTTTCCATTTTCATTGATTTGTTTATTTTATTAGGAGGGTCAACCCTTCAACATACCAGGCTGAAGTTCATGGAACCCCTACCTACGTCCAGTAAGTTCGTTTAGACATACAGCTGAGTACTGGTGTCAAGCAGTGGCATTGTGAAAGATTAATTATTTTATAATGGTAGTTATAGTTATGATGATAATGATAGTTACAGTAATAATGATAATAATAATAATGATAATAAAAATATAATTATTGTAACGATAATAATATTATTAATAAATACTTATAATGATAACAAAATAAAGATAGTCTTTTAAATTTCAAAATAGACTGGAAAGTCTCTTTATGCGCTTATCCCAGAAACAAAATACAATTTCATGCTAACATATTTATACAGATTAATTAAAAAGATTACTATTAATTCCTATTAATTCCTATTAATGTAGTAAAGAGGAGTAGATTCTGAAGTTTTTAAATGTTAAAAATGAAACGAAACTTGGCTCAATCTTGGCAAAGATCACACGATCTTGGTACAGAAAGGGGTATATGGAACTACACGCACATTCGTCATTGACTGTTGGATGCAAACACTTTAGCTAGTACTAGTCATCTGCCGAATATGTGGGTACTTCAACTCTTCAAAAGCAATCATGTTCATGGGGGCATTTCTACTTCCTTTTAAAATGAAAAACAGAGAGTGAGGAACTCAGCTATCTCATTAACTTCATATGAAAGTCAAAATGAACCGACTCTTCCATAAGATTAACTTTCAATGTTAAATTTTGTTTTGCAATTCAGCACTTGGCCGCTAATAAACAATTGTAAATTAATTTTCTTTTCAAGATTTAAATAATTGAGAAAACCAATGTCATGAAAATATTAATTATTTCATTTCAAATGGAAATGGAATCGTGTAGGATTTTGTCCTTGAGTGTATTAAACGTTACATCGGAGCTAAAGGCCGGGTAGTTATATCTTAAGTCCTTATGACGCACTTAGAAGTGTTATATCATAAGAATATGTGCTATTACATAATAATTTTTGTTATTTCTATTATTAATCGTCGATTTTCTTTGTCTCTCTTTCCCTTTCTTTCTCTGTAGTGCTTAGTCCTGGCAATAAACTTCAATACAACGAGTGGATCGACGTGTGAGGACATAGCTACTATGTTGATATCTCTGCAATGCATGCATGAGCTGATAACTATATAAACGCTTTTTCGTTGGCTCTTTTACTTTTCATAATGTTGTATTAATTTTATTTTTTTTTAATCACAGGAGCGTTTTTTTGCTATTACTCAGACTTAAATGGCTTTGATATATAGAGCATATAAAATGTACAATTATACTATGTGTGTAGCTTCGTCTTTTTTTCTTTTTTTTACATTTTTCGATTAAGATCAAATTTGGTTGTAAATATGAACTATATAGTTGGCACCGTGTTCGTCAACGTTTTCTGAATGATAACTATGATCTATAACTATTATTCATGTCACATCTTTTAATTGTGTAAAAATAACAAAAAATGGTGGTATCCAGATATCAATGTTATACCACTTTGGAAACAAAAATCATTCAAATGTAAAATATAATGGATTATACATGTATCATAGATGCTCACTTTCTCGTAGATTCATTGTTATGATATCTCTGAAATGCATGCATGAGCTGATAACTATATTGACGCTTTTTGTGGGCTCTTTACTTTCAATAAATTGTATCACTTTTTTTTAATCAAAGAAAACGTTTTGTTCCTATTACTCAGACATAAACGGCTTTGGTATAGAGCAAATAAAATGTACTATTATACTATATATGTGTAGCTTCGTCTTCTACATTTTCCGATTAAAATCAAATTCAATTGTCAATAGGAAATATTTAAGATGGCACCGTTTTCGTCAATATATTCTTAATGATAATCATTATCTATAGCCATTATTCATGTCATATCTTAATTGGGTGAAAATTTAAAAATGGTGATATCCAGATATCAATGTGATACCACTTTGGAAACGATAATCATTCAACATGGCAAACCTAATGGATCATATCATAGATGTTCACTTTCTCGTAGATCCATTTTGTAATTCTAGAATGAACGGACATATGTTTCCTGTTTAGCATATCTATCTTTGGCTTATAGATAGCAACTTCATTCAATAGGGGGAAATTCTTTGAATTTACCCATTATAAGAATTACATCGGTATTTTGGGGATAATAGTAATAAGTATGTTTTTAGTTGTTTTCTTTTTGTTGGTTTTGGTTTTACTTTTGCTGTACTGTTTCATCAGTTTGTTTGGGGGAGATTGGTTAAGTTTTGTAAGTTTTTTTGTTTTTAATCCATTTTTGGCAGACATATTTTTGAATAGGTTGATTAATCAGAGCGCGTTTCTATTTCTTTAAGAGCGCCATCTGCGAACAAAGAATGTGTAGTTTTTTCTCTTGCATCGAGAATGACGGAGAGGGAGGTAATCCAGAGTTCGTTAGCTCAAGCTTGATTTAAGATCAGTGTAATAAATTAAATTGGCTTTCATTTATAAATACAACAATACGAACGCTTTTACATGAAATGTTCTTGTCATTGAGCTTTCTTTGTGTAATAATAAACAAACTTAATGATTTACATAAATTATGAGTGCTAATTAATGTGTCTATAGAATTTCGAGGTGTGTTCACAATTTTACTGTTTACCATCTTCATTTTCAAAAAGCATGGTCGTTAATCACCACCATCAACAACAACATCACCAGAAACATCACAATCATATCCATTCTTAATATCATCATCCGTATCATTTCTATCAGTATTATAGTAACCATCATTATCAGCAGCAGCAGCATCCCCATCAACATCACCATTATCATCATCCCCATCACCATCACCATCATCATCACCACTACTACCACCATACTCATTATCATCACCACCATCATCATTATCATCACCACCATCATCATCATCATCACTACGGCCGCTAGTCATCGTTATCATCAACAGCAACATCATCTCCATCATCACTTAAATATCCACCATTACCACTATCCACATCATCATCATCATCATCATCATCATCTTCACCATCATTATCATCGTCATTATCATCATCATTCCTTTCGTATCGCCCGTCTTCGAAGGAATGGAACAAACAGCTGGTGACCTCTAGCGAATTAAGCAGAAGAGAATACGCTCGAACATGTCAAGGTGTTTTTCGCTTTTTATTACAAACGAATACCATGTACAAAGTATGTTGTGAGACATTTCCATGAAATATCACAACCATAATGCTTCACGAGTGAAGATAAGTGAATGATTGTATTCTTTACAAATTCATATAATATACGTTGATTTTTAGTATAAAACTAACCACAAAAGAAAAGAAAAAAGTCAATAAATCAAAACATAGTCAGCATCTGTGGAAGAGGTTATACAATATGTAAAACATCTCCTCTTTTATACAATAAATAATTAAGTAAGAATGTACTCTTTTGCAAGTCAAGTTGGATAATAAAGTCAAGATGAATTTGAAATCGAAATGTGTATATAAAAGACATGAAACTGTTTTAAAGAGGTTAGATAGGATAAAAGCGAGAGAGAGAGAGAGAAAGGGAGGGAGAGAGAGAGAGAGAGAAAGAAAGAAAGAATTACAATAGAAAGATAGAGAGAGATAGATGGGGGATAATGGAATGGGTATGATTTTCTAGGAAAGTAGCACCCTTACACACACAAAAGGACGATTATGACAGTGTCCCAGGGATGTACAATAAGTCTCATTAATTACAAAAACAAAAAAGGAATACCTGTTATCACTCATAATATGGAACAGTGTTGGTCGAAATGGGCTTATATATAAGGCATATCGAAAAATTAATATCAAAACAAGAGATGATCTTTAAATTTCTTCGAACTGTCAAACATAGAATTAGTAAAAAATCAATGCAATTCTACGTTATTGTGTAGAGCATAATCAAGATAACAATTTGTTACACATAGGGATATTTGTGATTTTTAAGTTTCTACAAAGGGTTCTTCATTAAATTTAGCCCCTCCCCCCCCCCCCCCCAAGAAAAAAACAAAAAACAAAACATAATATTAATATTAAAAATAATAATAATCACAATAAATATGATGACGATAATACTAACGATGATAATAAATAAAGGAATAACATTCATAATAATAAATAAAAAACAAATATGATAAAGTTTACACGAATATGGACACGTGTAAGGGATTATTATTCATAACATACTTAAATTTGACATTTCAGTTTTAACTGTAAATCCTTAACGTAATATTAAAGGGAAGAGCAAAAAATACAAGCTTACAAAATATTGAAAAAGTAACAATACACCGGTGCTACAAAACTAGTTTGAAATGTTGTTTATATGACCTGACTACACTTTCGATCAAACCTTGCTTTAATAATTTATCATTATTATCCTGATCAATACTATTATCCTCATTATTGTTTATTATTAATTTGTTCCCTTTTACCACGCTGTTGGTCGTAATCCACTATACATTACTGTTCATATTCAAAGGCATGTCTTTTAATATTTACATATCAAAAACTCTCATATCTTTATCACATATTTCATCGCGACACTATTCTTGAGAATGAAAGGCATTGTGCAAAATGAATAATGATAATTAACAATTCATAGAGAACTATATAGATAGGTTAGAAACTTGTGTATAAATACAATAAAAACATTGTGTGACTCAGTTTATTCTTTTCACCATACAAAATTGTGTTCAATTTGTTCAAAATGAAAATAAATAAGTAATCAAACTCCCAAAGTATTATACTTTGAAGGAAAATATAGGACCCGGTGAGGGAGGTTTGACGTGGTTGAATTTTTTTTTTATTTTCGAAAGAAGATAATGTTTTAACGAAATTACTAACATAAATAAATATGATATATTACAAGATATAAACAGTTATGGTCGATGGTGACAGTATCAAGAATGAAATAAGTTTATATTAAAGCATTCATTTTTGTTTCTTCCAAAGATAATCCAATAATCATAGTTCTTATAACTAAAAATCCAATTAAATCTGAAGATCTTCTTTAGAAAGACCAATCATGTTATGCTTTTTTATTTTTCCAGATAAACAAATGTTGAATTACAGCTTTTAGTCAGAATGCCCGGGATTTTTTCTTTACTATCAAGACAGGAGATGAATTTAATAATAAACTTTTTGTGACACAGAAATCTTAAAATACATGAGAAAAAGATTATCTAATTTGAAAATGTCTTAGAATGTGAATACTACAATCAAATTTGACGGACAAAATAATATGAATACTTGTGCATTCATTCATAACGCAATTATTATCAACATCTTTGCCTATTACATAATTCATTGAATTTCCTGAGGCGAATACCTTTATATAATGTGAATCATCTACTTCCATATCTAACCGTGACAAATACAAAATATCATCATGACCATTAACCATGTGAACGAAAACGACTGAATTCATGTGCATCCTTTTTTTTTATCACAAATTATCGCAAAGTATTTCAAAATGTCTGCTTGCACGATTGCGTAGGTTTCGCACAGAATTATGACAAATATATTAATATTTGTAGTTTGATAATGTAAAAAACAAAAACATCCATGTTTGTGACGATGGATTTAAATCCACTGTCATCCCAAAGTTCTAAGCTACTGCTAATAGATGGAAATCGAACTCACTAACTCTGAGTTAGTTTCCTAAAGAATAATCAAAATATATTTTAAAAATGAATAAAAACGACTAAAGTAATCCTATTGCACCAATACCTGCCCGAATACACTTGGAAATATATTTCAATGTTTTCTTCGCATAGCGTTGAAACGACATGTTCAGAATCGAGAGCAGTAAACAAGGAATGAATAACTTAATTCATCTATTTAGAAAACATCACCTCAACCAATTTCTTAAGAAACATCAAAGGTTCGAAAAACTTCTTTGTAGCCAAGTGAATAAATAAGATAAGATGCAGCAAAAGGCCGTACTGTGCATTTTGTTTGTGCGTTTATTATAGCCAAGAAAATAATATAATAGTACAAAGGGGAAAGGTTTTTAAGTAAACTTCGATCTGTGAACCTTCATGTTCAGCGTTCACGCCATCAAATCAACTATTCTACAAGTATAAAGCATTGCCTTGCCCATCACATAACAGAAGATACGCACGATGTTGGAATCGTCGTCGTATAAGGTATAAATACAAGACACACATTCACCAAAAAATATACACTACAAAAAAAACATGGAATAAATATATACAATATAAAGGAAACATTGAATATTTTTCTAAACATTTCAGAGAAAGGCCCTTTTTTCATAGAAAATAAATCTATTTACAATAAGAACTGTTTGATATACTTTGTACAGGAAAATCGCTACGAACAAAAACGGTGGTTTATAAAAAGGGGATATCCAAAGTTTTGATCCATCATTACGCTCGATTTCGGAGGACTATCCAACTCGAATGATTTGTATCTGGTGGGACATTCAACTTATGGTGGGAAATAGTTGGTTGCATAATTTGCACTTGATCATTCTATGTTTTCATCCTGAAATATAGCTTTTTTTTTCAATATAGTTTGTTCGACAGGCATTATAATGACGGAAAACCAGAAGTGTTTGTTTCAAGACATACATATAATTACGTATTGGAACCAGCATTCAGCATACTCAATGGAAGGGGATCATGAGCTAGTTGAATCGTTGTTATTGATTGTGGTGATGATGGTGGGTAGATTGGGGTTATTAAACGACAGGGGTGCCATTTGTTACCCCTGTACGTAGATCCAGAACGTTTGTACCCCTTGGTTCCCCAGCGGGACCGGTTGAGATGACAACTACACTGGTATCGGGCGACGCCGCCATTGTGGTGGCCGTAAGATCATGAGGACTGTGCCGCATCTGTTGTGGATGATGTTGCTGGGGTTGCGATCCTGGATGATGGTTGATGCTTGGGGTGCTGCTGTTGCCAGCGGGGGAGGTGGTGGTTGTGACGTTTTGTGGCGATACAACTCTGTTATGGGGGTCGCCGACCAACCCAGCTTGCGATGAGGGATGTAGATGTGCGTTGTGGCTTTGAGCTTGCAACAGGTATTGCTGATGCTGCTGGTGCTGTTGCTGATGTTGCTGGTGACTGGCCTGATTGTGGGTTGACATCTGGGCATGCGCCTGGGGGCTGCCTTGTTTGGCTATAGGGTCATAAAAAAGGTTGGGAAGAGTTACATTCATTGGCCCTCATTGGTAGCTATAATCTGCGCACGCGTATACAAGTTTGTGATAATGAATGAATGATTGGTTTGGATGGGATGGGTGGGTAGGTGGTTGGGTGGGTGGAAGGGTGTGTGGGTGAGAAAAGAAACAAAGAGACAAACAGAATACAACAGATTAGAACAAACTTGGGTTACACAAAGGGAGAGGTCATATGAAGGAAGATTTACACAAAAGACGAATGGTTGAAAGGAATACAAGAAAATGATCACATGAATCACAAACTACACATGCAAATTATGATGAATATAGTTATATTAACTTAAATTAATTTAAATGACTGCATGTAGAAATAAAGTATGCATGCTAATACGACGAAATGGCAATATCATGTTGTTCTGTTTACGCCAAATGATATTTTTGATCTTTAATCTTAAATTCATCATCATGAGTAAAGATTAAAGAATTCAATTTGGTAATGGAATCTACAATGCTCGTGGCCTAGTGTAAATTTTCACTTGGTCGGTAAATAATTTTGTGATAATAAGTAGTAAATCTGCATAAGTAATGAAAGTGTGGAAAACCAAAATACTAGATTCACATGAGTAAGCAGCCGTTTTTTCATCGAATTAACATCATTATTCTGGTCGTGGCAACAAAATGGTGAGATGGTTTTATAACTGTCCTGTTTAGTTTTTAACGTGATTCAAAAATACAAATTTTACAATAATATAGATGTTAGTGAATTCAAACATGATAGCTAGTCTCTTCACAAGCCGTATCCCGTCATTTTTGTGATTGATAATACTTACAGGTCTACTTACTTAGCAGGCTCTGGCTACCAGTATAGCGTTGCCAATCGTTGTAATGGCCTGAAACTGAGAATTGGGCGTGGGGATGGTTGTACTGTGAAAACTGGGAGGAATATTCACCTGGGAAAAGAGCGAAAACAATGAGAGGAAAAGGAAGAGTTAAATAACCTACAGTTTCACTATAGCACTGAAGATGCATCATCAAATGGTAATCGATTTCTTAGAAGGACAAGTTTATCATCGTTTTTTTCCATATTTGGGTTAGGTTAATCGGTACTTTTCCCTTCAAATTAAGACTATGCAACTCTAACAGCCATCATGACATGTGGTCCATCAGTTTGATAAAGAAAGAGGTCATGAGAGTGAGGAAGGGAGAGAGCGAGGAGAGAAAGGGAGAAACCAATAGTTAGATAATTTTATCATTTTTGTCTTCAGCAATTCATTTTGGGGTGGGTTAAAACGATTTAGTGATCAACATAAAGTTTGTCCACGTAGAAACAAATTCTTAAAATGACTGTAAGTCCACGCCAGAAAAAGCGTTGGTTGGTAAGCCGCCATTTTGTTAGAACTTAGTCTCCACTACGGTTGTTTTGAGCACTCACCTTCCCGTCCGCTATGGCTGTAAGAGCCACCGCCCGGTGGAAGCACTAGAGGAGGCACGATACTGGCCACCGAGCCGCTGGAATAACCGCCTTGAGATGAGGCTGGGTAGCCGTGAAGTGGGGTCATATCTCGACTCTGGCCTGAAATGTAAAGAAGGATGGATGGATTGAAAATCGAAATATTTTGAAGGTTTGACAACGTCTTGCATCTCAACAAAAATTCTCAATCTTGTCTGGAACAGCTAAATAAAGGCACAGTTGCATAAAAAAAAAGATGTTATTACCTGTTTGATGATAACCTGATGTCACCGCATGATGGCGCTGTGCTTCTAAACTCGCATGGTATTCTGAGGCGCTGGAGATAGGCATACCGACCTGATAACGAGAAATAAAAGTACAACAATCAAGCTTCAAATTTGAAGGGGAAAAAAGATGCATTGATATCTGAAGTGATTCTTAAATCTTTTGACCTGTTTTGAGGAGGACATTAATAACTGTAGTGTATGCACTGATCTGGATCTATGTCAAATCGTAAACTTTTTAGACAACATTTGATGAAATTCCTTTTACATTTGTTTGTGTAAGTGAAGTACATGTACAAACATGCAACGTATGCATGGAGTTCAATGAACATAAGTGAATTAGACTATGCTTGGTTTTTCTTTTGTGAAAAAAATGGACCAATTAGGCATCCAACGTTTAATCCCACTCCTGACACCAATAATGACATAGTAAGATATTTTCGAGTTGGTTGAAAGGCATAAAATAGTACCATCTTCCTGGTAATCACCTGACCACGGGCATCCTGGGCGATTTCCTTGCGGTAGACGTCGGGGTAGAGTGAGGGGTTACAAGCCTTCTCCATCGCTTCGATCTGGTGGGGAGAGAAAGCACCACTGTTCGTCTTCATCATCTTGCGGGCTTCTTCGGCCAAGACAGACTGGCCATCATGATGCCCTGGTGTACCATCTGTAAAGAAAAAGAAGAAAAAGAAAAAGATTCATTATAAATATTTGATCGTGTTTTCTATTATTTTTTTCCTATAATCCATGATGTCACAAAAAGTTTCTGGAACCCAAATTGTCAAACCTATATTAAGGTCGAGGGATATAACAGAAGATAGTGATGCTTATAATTATATGCACATGCATCTTGGTAAGATTCGAACCAACAACTTTCTGATTGGTGGTCAAGAATAATAACCACTTCACAAAAGTTATCGGAAATTCGCTAATTATCTTTTGAATATAGAGTTATTACATTTAACATAAATAACAGTATTATAAATATAATTTGCAGTTGTCACCGCCATGATCATACTCATCACCATTGCCACAATAATCATCATAGTATCAATTGCATTGTCATCATCGTCATCATGATCATCATTATTCCAATCATCACTATCATCACCATTATTGTCATCATAATTCCCACCATCACTATCATCACCATCAACATCATTGTTATCATTCTCATCACCATCACCATCATTGTTATCATTCTCATCATCATCCCCTATAATTCATATACATCTCAGCATCTCAAGACAAACATGTCCCAAACATTTGAAGAGACAGTTTCCATGACAACGACTTCATCGCGTCTCCATCCTTCTCGATCGATTCCAGCCCTTGTTAATATCAACGAAAGTAAAATGAATCGCTTAATCACCTAGCTGAGTGAAAAGCATCAGGACAACTTTATTCTTATCTATGTCGTTTCGTGGAGGATAATTCTTCTTTTTACAATATCCACACATACGGGGGGTACTACGAATACGGATAGCTTACACGTGTTTTGAGTTGTTTCTCTTTGCTTGTCTACTTCTTGTCTTTAACACCTCCCTGTATTTCTAGATGAGTTATGGATACACTAATTCTTTCCATGTATACAATCAGATATCGTAGAAGGTTGAACTACACAAACGAAACTAATGTGAACATAATCAGTATAATGATATCGTCATGCAGTAGACTATATATATTAGGTGAATGTGTAAAATGAATAAAAGTGTAATAGCATGCTTTAATATAAATGAACCTATTTTGGTCTTTGCTTTAAATTCTAGATAATATCAGGATGTCTGGTAACATGTTTATCATTGTTTCCCTTTAATGTTATGCTTATTATTTAAGCTTAATCAATTCACTTTCTACAACGTAAGATATCAACGTAAAGTTTTCAGTCAAGATATTCATATAATTATGTTCATCCTCATCCAGATATCAAATTTTCGTGTCAATCTCGTTTGACAATTCAAACCGCAATGGCATATTGTAGGGTCATAAACAAAATGCGTTTGTTCCTTTTTCACCTACTATAATTGATATATTAGTTTAGAGTTATCAGTCAACCCAAGGATCTCATCACCAACCACCCAGTCTGTCCTCTTTCATCATGTAGGTTTCGACTGGACAAAGCAAGATGTGTAACACAGGAGGGTGTAGAGTTTAATAGCGAGAATACTTCTGTTGGTTTGGTAACCAGAGTTATGATTTGTTTTCTTCGCGATATTTTTGTTATGTCCGTGATAATGTCAAACCGCATCTTTTCTTTCTCCATCTTCGTGTATAAATCCTCGGTCTGGGGTGTATACGAAACAAGGAGTTGAAATGGTCGGGGTGGAGAGCGGTGTAATGTTAGAGGATAAGAACCTTCGGTCGGCGTCGAGCGAACGCCGAGGTCGGGGAGAGCGACGATATCGGATCTAAACTGTCACTGAGTCGCAATCTCTGCTTACAAATTGACGAGTTGGAATATCAATATATCATGCTCCAACAGTAATGAATGGGCCGTCTGTTTGTGCCATGTCGTAATGGACAGTTCTGGCTTTTGTCACCGTGCTGGTGGTTTTGATGAACTTATCAGCAACTTCAAATTAAATTCCTCCAAAGTCAATGCTTCAAATACATGTCGATTTTCAGGGATATATTTTTTTTCTTTTCTGCTGTAAGGGGAAATATACATTCGTACTTAAGCTGACAAGATAGACAGATGAGGAAAACGTATCCAAATCTTCACAAAACATAGTACCTGTGGTCAATAACAATTATCAGAGAGAGGAGCACAAGAAATATGGAAATCAATGGAGCGGTTTAAGAAGGGGATAAGATAAGTTGAATTCAATTCTTATAACAACAAAAGGATGCTGGTGACGAAAGAAACATTTGACAAAGGAGAACACGGTTTATAAAGGAGAGAAAAGCATAGGCTTTGTGACTTCATTCTTTTGTTTGGTCAAATTTAGCTTGTGTCCAGCCATTCCATTCGTACTCAACGATGCACTGGAGGTACAGGTACAAATACCAGAGTCAGGGTCATCGTCTAGTGCCACGATGGCAGTCATCGTCCCGCCAGACGGCCCGGCTAGAGTTACCCCTGGTTGCCGTCTAGAAATCAGGAGGGTGAACCCGACACTAACACAACACTATGAAATGTAAACTTAGAACATGAAGCTTTCCAAACTTAGACCCGAGGTTTGGTCGATTGCTGGATTTTCAGAAAGCCTTTTCGCGGATTTTCAAAATTGAGGTGTATCTTTAAAAAGCAGAGGCACTTCATAGACTCTTTATTCTGTACCATTGCTCTGTGAGAGTTCAATGTACGCTTTCCATATTCCCGACGATTGCTTGAAAAGATCTTGCGAATTTTCTGCCATTCCTTTCATACCCCATATACTATTCTTCAGTCGAAGAAATAGATTTTGAGAGACGAATTTGCAACCTAAACATGAAACGTGATTTTGAAGCAGATCTGGGGACCTGAAACACGTAAAGTAATGCTTCATCAAAATAAGGTCATTTTTATGTCAGGAGTGGGATTTATATAGTGTTCTAATTCTTTGGCATTTTTTCTCAGATAGATACAAACTATTTATTCAGTCACGTGTAATTGTTTAAGTTCAGGAGCCTTAAAAGTAATACGGAGACGCAAAAGCTTTTTAGCAAAACTTTAGCTTCCGTCTTTCCCCTTTTTATTTTAACTTCTGATGGATGAAGGGGATGTTATAGCTATCAGTTTGGCGCGAGTGCACTTCAAGTCTTCAACATCCAAAAATAAAGGGAAAAAAGGTACAAGAAATCCCTTGGGATGACCCTCCGATCTATCAAGCTCCCTACATCTCAACTGACACTGCCCCTTAAAATACTTCTCCTCCAGTCATATTGCTTTTATCCCCTTCCTTTACCCCTCACCCTCTCTTATCCCCCGTTCAACATCTGTCGCGCAGTAGCAGCAGCAGTTCAACCCGGGTCCGTTTATTAAGTACGCGTGTCACCGTAATGCCCCCACCCTGGCGCGCACGCTTTTCTCGTTAGTAAAAGCAGCAGGCGTCGAAGAAATCCGATCCTTGCCGAGCGCCGTTCGGCTCACTTTCGACCGCGCGCGCTCTCGTAAGAAATGTACATCACAAAGTCAACTAGGCCTGACGTAGAACAAGAGAAGCCACTTTCCAGGTTGTCCAACTGTCTTCAAGCTTTAAGTACCGCCTAATTCAGAACCCATTTGTTGGTTTTTAGATTTCCTAATGCCTCGTGGCAGAAGGATCAGGTATTGCTAAAATTGTTTTCGAATCCTCCCCTTGCGTTCGGGGACCTATACCGACTGCTCGTACGTACATGTATATTCTTCAAGTAGCTGATGATATCACACGGTATTTCCAAACCCAAGAGAAACCTTCTATGCCAAAAGCAGATGAAATTTTGTGTCTAATTTTTTTCTCTCATTATTATCAATATCCAACGCATTGTATTTCCTAATTGCACAGTACGATGAAACGGGGGGAAAGAGAACAAATATATAATTTGAAATACAACAAAAATGGCTATTGAATATGAGACCCGACAACACTTAAACTGACGTTCACACACAAAAAAGACACTATGTAATTACCATGCTTATTATAGATAACGTAAACGTAATTAACGAGATTCATTTCAAACTAAACATACTAAAAAAAGGAGGCGTTCTGCAGTAATAATCACAACCCTTTAAAACAAAAATGTTAATTCTTACGATCAAAAGTTTTCAGTGCGGTCTCTCTTTCTGACCATATGTACATCATCTATACAGGGTACTAAATTTACGCCAATATTTGATTTGATGACCTGCAAAAAAGTACATTTCACGACCTCGCCCCATTCTCTTTCACCATGGACAAACAAAGCTGAAGTCCCATCTTCGATCATTTAGGAACACTTTAGATAATCCCATAATGATACCCTTTTTTTCATTTGAAAAGGGTTCAAGAGTCTGCAAGATAATAGGATGGGCAAGTGATACACTTTTGTAATTATGTTCTATATGGATAAGCAAGGAAGTATTACTTTCGTGTCGAAGAGAGGTTTTGACTTGAAAGACACTTAAGAAACGTGAATAGCATAGATAGGATGTCGTATTTATAATTCTAAAAACTTATCGGGTTTGTAAATCAACTGGAAATCTGTTGTTGTTGTTGTTGTTGTTGTGTTTTTGTAATCGTTATCTTTACACACTTGCAAAGGAGAAAACGGATGTCATTATGCAATTACAAGATTTTGGGTTTTCAACTTTGTATTCCAAGATGGCGCCTCCAGTTTCACGTTTATCAGTTAATTGAGATCATCGTGGTTGTGAATGTATCTCTTTCATGAGCTTACTCTCGTTTCAATTATCCAGCACTTGTCTCGTTTTTGGCAAACAAAGATTCAGGTTGACATATGGAGATTGAAATTTAAGGGGAAAAGTTGCACATAAAACTATCACTTTATTCAAATAAAGAATGCATTTCGATTAAGTATTTTACATCAAGAGGCCCTCAGATGAGTGTATTACCTTTAAAAAAAATACTTGACTTAATGTAATGACTTTGAATTTAATTACATAACTTTTTACCATGATCATTATGTAATATCTATATTAAAGAATATTCAGTTTGCATTGAGGGTATGGGACTCAGATTGGATTCAAATTGCATTACCTCCTTTAAA